GTACGGATTACAACAATTTTTTAAAAAATGTATAGGACATCCACACGCTTAGAACATATTTACACTAAATAAGTTAAATAACATTTAATAATTTCAAATAAATAAAATAAATAATTATTTATAATAAACCATAAAAATAAAATAAAAAATACTTAATTTCTTATTTCAATGACATAAAAAACAAATTAAAGAAAAATACTTTATTTTTATTGATAATAAAAAAAAAAACATTGGTTGATTAACTTGGTTTAGATAATAGTTTCATATACCAAGAGTTAGGTTGGATAGATACGGAACAAGAGATATAAGAACATACAGATGTGATAATTTTTAAAAGTTGGACATCCATATGCTTAGGACACACTACACTAAATAAGTAATACATTAATATTGTAACATCCCTTCCCGGTCCACCCGTAAACCCGAATGAACCGAACCGAGACGCTACAAACTCCAGACGCTACAAACTGGTTGACTGTATATGGTCTGACAATGCTGAAATTTCATAATGTATATTGAATATAATATCATTCTGAAGTTGTATACAAAATAAATGTAATTTAATTTAACAAAACATGAATTACTAAGTAGTCAAAAGGAAATGGCCCAACTGTGTTGCCCTGTACATAGCCATGAAAATATAAACAAAAATACACATCCGATGCATGTAGCTACCCTAAGACTGATCTTTCTACAGATAGGAATCAGCAGGTTGTTAAGCTTGACTCTCGACTGTCCAATCTCGAAAAACTTGCGAGTTAAACAGGTAAACTCGCTGAGTAAAGAAGCTTAGTGGATATCCTCAACAGATAAAGAAACAATAAACAAACATACATGCTATAGAAAGAACCATGTAAACACATATGCACATATAGGCACACACTATCATGATACTTTCATGATACCTTGATATCTTTTGTACGTTAAAATACTGCTATAATTCTTGAAATGTTATGTCAAGGATATCTTTGTTTATGGGCCTCCATAAGTTATAGTGAAACCGAAAAAGTGATAAGAAAAAACTGTTATGAAACTGGATGAATACTGTATGCTTGGCTGCTATGGCCCAATCATAATCATATTCCACTCAACGCCTGTAGCCGGATACCAAAACTTGTTTATCTGAGGTGCAGATCTGCGTATCCTATGTCGCAGCATAAGCCTTATATCTTACATGGTTCTACCTAATCCTTCAATGAGCATAATGTTGGATTCAATAATATAAACACAACATCGATATTAAAATAGTTCATAAAACTTCATAAATTCATTAATTGATATTTGAGTTTCACATCACCATTTGCATGCTTGAATGTTGTTTGATACATGTTCAAATGTTGTATTTGATGTTAAAATGATTGGAGGCATATGAAGTGAAGCAACAGAATACAATTGCATTGAAAATGAAGTCAAAAATAGCATAAAACACGAAGTCGCGAGCGTCGCTACTTCAAAGTCCTGGAGGCGCGTAGAAGCCCAAAAATGAAGACAGGTGAAGTTATCGGCACAAGTCGCGAGCGCGTACTTGAAAGTCGCGATGCGCGAGAAGTGCCAAAATGAGAGACAGTGAAGTTCCCAGGGCCAAATTCCGAGCTGCGCGATGAAGGGTCGCGAGCGCTTACAGCGCTAAGGGCCAAGTACGCGAGCGCGCAGCTTCACATCGCGAGCGAAACGAGAGTAGTGCCAAATGAGAGTCAAGAGAGTTTGCGAGCCACAAGTCGCGACCGCGCGGCACTTGACAAGTCGGCGAGCGCGAGATTCCAAGATGAGAGTCCAGAGAGTTTCACGGTGAAAGTCGCGAGCGCGTTAGTTCAAATTCGCAGAGCGCGAGAAAGGCAACGCGAACTCGTCATGCCAATTCTGCGCGCGCGCTTCCAGCCTGCCTGTCTGTACTCTTTTCGTCATAATCTCTCAATATAGCAACTCCGATTTCCTATGATTCAAAAACCGCATATACAACTCCAATTTGGATGATTCAAAAACCCATGTAAAGCTAACACATAGAGGAACAAATAACTCTTCTATGAAACTTCCTAATTCCATCACTAAATGAGGACAAAATCAAGATAAAGTAGCAAAACCTGTTTCAACATAAACTCAATACTCACTTCATTTATTCAATACTTCCCCTGTTTTCCCCTGTTTTCTCACCATTACCAGTCCTCTCACTCAACATAAAGCAATATGTCTCAGTAGCAACACACCACACAATTTCTCATGCAAAGAAAATGGAAAAGAACAAGAGATATCAAACCTTTACTCCAAAAGCTTGAGCTCCTCTTTAGCTTCTTTTTTCTACTCCCTTAGAACTCCCTTCACCTATAAAGAAGAATTCTTATAAATTCTAAAATAACAACACCAAATGATTCAATTATGAACTTCAAGAAGGTTTACTTACTTGTACTTGGATAGAAGAAAAATTGAAGTTAAGGCTTAACTACCATTAAAATTGAAAGGAAGGTGGAAGAGGAAAGGAAGAGGAAAGAAGAAGATGAAGATAAACATGAAAATGGGAAAGTGAAATGGTTATAGCGGGTTAAAGGCCATCAAAAATCAAGGGATTTGTGTGTAAAAGTTCTAACATGACCTCAATTGTAAACAGGCTACAACTTAATACCCAAGCTCAAATCTTTAAGGCCAAGCTCAATCTTTTAATGCAAATCAATCCTCACCCATATGATTTGATCTTTTCTCTCACTCAAGTAACTCCACTTATAAACCCATTCTACCCCAACCGGGTTTGATTCAACTCGACTCAACTCGACTCCTCAACTCTATGCTAAGACTCGACTCGGAGTAGGATGTCACAAATATTTTAAATAAATAAATAGTTATTCATAATAAATCATAAATATAAAAAAAATAAAGCGATATGAGAATGTATGCCAAGACAGTTTTTAAAAAAATAGAAGATCCACATGGTTATGACACACTACATTAAATAAGTATAATATATTAATATTTCAAATAAATAAACAACCATTTATAATAAATCATTAACATAAAATAAAAAAAATACTTAATTATACTTAATTCTTATTTCATATAAATTTCTTCAAAAATTACTTCAACTCACTATGAAAATATTACATTAACAAAATGTGTAATGTATTTTTTGCATGCAGTCATGCTTAAAGGTGTCAAAAGGGTCACAAAAACTCCGAATACGATTCGTCTAATATGCCGAAAAAACACTGATTTAATATGACTATTGATTACTAAAATTAAATTTTACACAAATTTGAAACGGAGTATAATATATTAATATTTCAAATAAATAAACAACCATTTATAATAAATCATTAACATAAAATAAAAAAAATACTTAATTTCTTATTTCAATATAATTCTTCAAAATTATTATCACTATTGAAAAATACATTAACAATGTGTATGTATTTTTTGATGCAGGTCATGCTAAAGGTGTCAAAAGGGTCACAAAACTCGAATACGATTCGTCTAATATGCGAAATAAACTTGGATTAATATGACTTTTGATACTAAAATTAAATTTTTACACAAATTTGAAACGGATTAAAATACTTAATTTATAAAATACTTAATTTATAATTGGATTCGGATTCACGGTACATTATAAGCTGAGTATTTGACTCTGTTGCATTCCCTATCCATTTGTGCCATTTACAAACTTCACACGTCTCAAAATTCTAGACGCTGGCGCCAATATATAATTCCCGCCGAATTTTTATATATGTAAACAAAAAAGGAAAAGATATCCAAAGCTTCCCTCTCAAGCTTCGCCTTCAGATCTACTCAAAGTTTAAACTAAATTAAAACCCTTTTTCCAATTAAGCCCTCCCTTCATTCCATTTTATACCAAAACAAATACTCCTATTTCTGTAAAAACACAATCAATATATTCTTAAATCGCCAATAAGACCGCGCCAAATAATAAGAAAAAGTTAAAATCGCCAAACTACCCTTTGCCCTATCCATTTCAAGTTCAGTTCCCCGCAAGCTTCTCATAAAAATTTCAAATCCCCCGCTATCAAAATTCAACAATTCAAAAAACCCTATCTTCTCCTATAAAATCATACACAATCACTCAATTTCGCAGCAACAGAAACCAATTTCATAAATCTCCAATCAAATTCTAAGAATCCCCCAATTTCTAATCCCTAAACATGCCTGCTATTCCAGAAGAGCCACTTCTAGCCCCAAACCCAGATCGATTCTGCATGTTCCCAATCCAATACCCACAGATATGGGAAATGTACAAGAAAGCCGAGGCCTCCTTTTGGACTGCAGAGGAGGTCGATCTATCTCAAGATCTCCGCCAATGGGAGGCCCTAACCTCCGATGAGAAACACTTCATATCTCATGTCCTTGCCTTCTTTGCCGCCTCTGATGGCATCGTTCTCGAAAATCTTGCCGGTCGTTTTATGAAGGAGGTCCAAGTCTCTGAGGCTCGTGCTTTCTATGGCTTTCAAATCGCGATTGAGAATATTCACTCTGAGATGTATAGTCTTTTACTGGAGACTTATATCAAAGATTCGACCGAGAAGAATCGATTATTTCACGCGATCGAGACCGTTCCTTGTGTGGCTAAAAAGGCTGAGTGGGCCTTGAGATGGATCGACGGATCGGAGTCTTTCGCTGAGAGACTTGTCGCTTTTGCATGCGTGGAGGGGATATTTTTCTCTGGAAGTTTTTGCGCCATATTTTGGCTAAAAAAGCGCGGGTTGATGCCGGGATTAACTTTCTCTAACGAGTTGATCTCGCGAGACGAGGGTTTGCACTGCGATTTCGCGTGCTTGCTCTACAGTTTGTTGAAGAAGAAGTTGAATGAGGAGCGTGTGAAGGGAATAGTGCGTGATGCAGTGGAAATTGAGAGGGAGTTTGTATGCGACGCGCTTCCTTGCGCTTTGGTAGGGATGAACCGAGAGCTGATGAGCCAGTATATTGAGTTTGTGGCTGATAGGTTGTTGGGTGCGCTTGGGTGCGGGAAGATATACAATGTGACTAACCCTTTTGATTGGATGGAGCTGATCTCATTGCAAGGAAAGACTAATTTCTTTGAAAAAAGAGTTGGTGAATATCAGAAGGCTTCGGTTATGTCTAGCATTAATGGAGATGGCGGGACCCATGTCTTCAAGATGGATGAAGATTTTTAAGGGGTTGAGGACTTTTTAGGGGTAATTATGTTGTAACATTATAATATAAGGTTGTTCTGTCTGGTGCTTTATATGATAAATGCCAATTTTTTTTCATTATTACTCCATTTTATAAGTTAATTTTAAATTCTATGTATTGCCAAATGACCAAACAAGTATAAATGTAGTTAATTTTTTTGTTTAATTTCTAACTAATTTATTCATGTGCCAAAATGTAACTTTCAAAAAGTTGAGGGGTTAAAGTCGAATAAAGCATTTCGTCAGAAGGAATCATGAAATTTGGGTGATGATATTTTTGGGGCTGAAGAATAAGAAAATGAATAGAGAACGGGTGTAATGGGATAAAATTTGTGAAGAGAGCGACAACTTTTGAGGTTATGGCAGTTGTATCCTCCCATTAGCCATCATCTTTAAGTGAAGGGCTCCATTTTCCTTCAAAAATCTGCATCTCCATCCTGAGTAGCTTGTTCTAGTCTGTTTAAGATCGATGATGGCCAGTTATTCACAGCTGCAAAGCACAGGAATGCTATCAAGGGAACAATTGCTTATTCTTTTCGATCGCTTTTCTCAACTCACTTCTCAGCCTGGTATTTTAACTTTCCTCTTTTACCTTAACCTCACATTTTCTTTCCCCTTTTCCCTTATTTTTTTGTTGTTGTTAACTATTTTCAAATTTCTTTTTTTAATCAGATGTGAAGAAAAGAATTGCCGATGCTGTGAATGATAAACAGGTGATTACTATCTCTTTTGATTATTGGAATTTTTTTTAGTGCAGAAATGAGAAAATGGTTTGCTTTATCTGCTGAGGAATTTTCATAACTTGTAATTTTCTTTTTTCTTTATCTGTGGGCTTGATAAGTGATAAGTGAGGAATAGAAATTTGTATTACATTTTAGTATATGGCTGCTGAAATTAATTTTACCACACATTAATTGTTGCTTTATAACCCTGTTTTTTGAAAACTGTTATGCAGGAAGCTGTTGCTGTGACCACTGCAATTCAGGAAGCCATATTTTTGGAGATGAGGATAGGTTAGTTCTTTTCCATTTGGCATTATATTGGTTTACTGCTGCGAAATTATCTAAGTTTGCATTATTGCTATTTTAGGTGGTTGAAATCATACCCTATGCCTACCTCTTGAATTATGTGTAAAATTCTGTGGTATATACTAGCGGTAATTAACCTGAGTCAATTTTTAACTCGTCCGAAACTATTTTCCGGAATCTTGTTTCCTTCTTGTATTCACATGAACAACAAATTGCTGCCACCCTTGACATCCTATGATCACCTTGACATTATTCCTTTTCCTTTTGATCGAGCATGATGTTAGCTTGTGCATATTAATCTCATAGAGCTTTGTGGATGAGCTTTCGGAATTTATGATGCTGAACCAGTAACTATACAATGGAAATGCAATGTATGTACATTTTGTATCTGCATAAAAACTATTATTCATAATTCGTCCTGAAGTGGGATGAATGAAGTGTGAAAGCCTTATGCATATTGCATACTGGTTCTTATGATGATGGAGAGCAGATACAATCTCACTCAGTCTCTGTCATTATTGTATATTTTTATCCTCTCTTACCTCTATCTTAATTGTGGCACCTTAAGGTGTAGATATCAGAATGATTTGTTCTTTTTCTTAAAATGAGAGTTCCTAGTATTGAGGACATTAACTCTTAGCTTTTTTCCACATAGTTTTTGATAATGAAAGAACCACTTTCTGTTTTTTTGATCCATTGGTCTGCTTGGCGGTGGTTAGTTACAATTTTCATATAGCACCATCAAAAGTATTATTTCACTATTGCAGATCCAAGTTTTGGTATTTCATGCCTTGGGAAAGTGAACAAGGTTTATGAGAATGATCAAGATTTGATGGTTCGCTTTTATAAATTTGTTGCAAAGTAAGTCCTCTCTATCTCTCCTGCTCTTTATATAGTTTTCTGAGACCTGTAATCTTGGTTTGGAATTTAAATTAGTCATTATTTAAGAATTTTACTTTTGCGAAGAGCTCTTTTAGCCTTTTCTGGAGGATGTTATTATTTGTGTTGTCTCCCATGTGAGCAAACCCCCTGGTTTCTTCTTTACCTGTGACAGAGTGTTGCATCGCTAATCTACCCTTTGTTGTCAAAATTATTGTTATGCCTTTGAATAACCTTTGAAGGATTTTAAAACAAGAACTTCATGTATTTTCTGGCTTTTGGCTGTTCTTGTGCATGATGTCCCACGAGCTTGTACTTTTTACGTCAGAGACTTGAATAGTGTTTTGAGCTCATGCGATGCTTAATGTTTAAATTGGATGTTCAATTTTGGCATAATTTCCATAAACTTTTTTGTAACATAGTTCATATGCAACCAAAGATATAAATGGAATAACAGCAAAATGGCACTCCAAATGCTCTGAAGGAAGCCAAATTAGCTTGATTTATTCTCATTGATCAGTTTTTTGTTGCTGTGGGTGGACGGAGAGTGGGATTGGAGTAAGGATTTGAACATAAAATCTATCTAATCTCTAACAACCAGTTTACGACCAGAGCTACAGCTAAGTACAGTTATACCACATCGACCTATAGGCACAAGGTTTGTGTAGGGCAGCCTCTGTCTTCTCTTCCACCTCTTAAACTGATAACTTATAAGAAATTGGCATTACTGATGCTAACAAGTTGAAGTTGTTTTCCTATGCTGTTCAAGAGAGAATGCAACAGGCTTTGGATTCTTTATTGTTTTCTGATAGAGGTCCTGAAAATGTGGTCCACCTTCTCTTTATTGTTTTGACTATTTTCTTATCCATTTTGATCGTAACTTAAGGAAATTAAAGTCCAATATCATTTGTGATGTGCTCATCTCTATTTTCATGAATTTAAATCATTAAGTTTGATTTTACAGATTTGATTATCTAATTTTGTATTGTCAATGGCTGATATCCCCTATCAATTGACAGTGAAGAGATGGCCTGTGATGAAGCTGAGCTTGGACCCGATGAGTTCAGTGAAAAAATGCAGAATCAACAGAAGTTACAGGAACAGGTATTGTTTAGCCACATTTGGATGTGAGGTTGATTGAAGAAGCATTCTGCTAGAGGGGTTCATGGTGTTTTCATTTTTATTTTTCAGCAACTGGAGATGCTAAAGCACATGCGCAAATTTCACCTGGATGACCAATCTGCAATTCTTGAAAAGGTACATTGCGTGTACATGGTGCTTATTTTTTCACTTGCGTAGATGGAGAAATGGACATGGATTTTAGAAGAGGATGGATTTAGTTACAACTGGTTCTGTTTTTTTATACAGTTGCAGCAGCAGATGCAAAATGCCAGTTTTGTGGGTGAGGCATCAGTCATGTCACCAGAACAAATTCAGGATATTGTTCGAAGGAGAGTATCACCTTTATTTACACCAAGGTAGATTAGAACTTGTTTATCTTATCAATTAGTCTTATTTCAATTTGGTCTGCGACACTCTGTATTTTCTTCATGTAAACCATTGTTTGTCGCAGCAAATGCTTGCCATCTAGAATGGAACTTCTCTGCTTCGAGTTTTCTCATTTTGTTATGTTGCTTTATTTCTTATATGATAAAGATTGATAATGAGTGTTTTTTTGGTTAAACTTTGTCAAGAGCTTCATTGAAGGTCATGTGAATGAAACTAAAAGAATTTATTTTGAAATTTTTATATTTAGAAGGAAAATGTTAGGCGATGTATTGTCGTCGTATTAATGAGTGTTTGGATGTATAAAACATAATCACACAAAATGTGAATTAAATGTAATAATAAATTATTTTCTATTATAAAAAATGTGCATTTAAAAGGGAAAAATACATTACTTTAACAAGATAACATATATATCTTTTACTATTTGCATAAAGTTATGAAATTGTCTTTGGCGTGGTGCACTAGAAAAATTGCATCTTAGCATTCTATTCTATTTATATGTGAAATTCACTTTAAAATGAATTTTAGTTCTAATTTTTATTTTTTAAAAATTTCTCAATAATTATGTTACACGAATATGGCAGGAATAGGAATATGATATAGCCCACTTAAAAGGCAAAAAAAGTCATTAATGTCTAAATTGTCATAAAATCTAATTTCCATGTCCTATTTTGAAATCTAAACTGCAAAACGCACATTTGTCATATGTTATGACAACATGACGTCATCTGTCAATAAGTGGAGATGGCCGAGTTGGTCTAAGGCGCCAGATTAAGGTTCTGGTCCGAAAGGGCGTGGGTTCAAATCCCACTCTCCACATGTTTTTCATTTTATATTATTTTCCATTTTCAAATTAAAAAAAAAAAAAAATCGATAGTTTAAAATTCATTCCTTACATTATATCTAAACTCATTTAGTTTTGCTATATTTAGTAAACATTAACAATTCTCATTTTTTAAAACATAATAATTTTAAAAATATTAAAAATTATAATTTATTGTATTTCATAAAATATATCATTATTTTATTATTTATTTATATAAACAAGTTTAGTGGCAATGATTCAATCTATTAAATCCGCATCATATTAAATTTAAAACAAGTTATTCTCCACTGTAGCAATTTCAAACCTGTTTATAAATAATTAAATTTTACATGAAGTAAATAAGGTATCCAAAAATATTCTATTCATTACCATCCAAAAATAACAACTCTAAAGTTTTAAATTTATAACCTTGCATATAAAAATATTAAGAGATATAATTTATTTATGATGATTCAATATTATATATAATACTATTTCTGTAACTAAATATTACTCGTTCCAATTCAATCCAACTTAAGCGAATCAACCTAACTTAACCTGGTATAACTATTTCTCAAATACTAATAAAGTAACCAACATAATTGAAGCAATTACAACGAAAATGGTAAACATTACGCTATGAGGCAACATGTGGTTCGAATGATGAAATAAATTCGCATGCGTAAAATAATTTGCATTGTATTGCCACTGACCCTACTTGCACTACATTTACATTTTGATGATTTAAATTATTTTTAACCATATCGGATTATGGCAGCAACATCCAAAATTTGAGAACAAGAAATATTAAACAACGCTCTTATTAAACAAATACTAAAAAAAAATCAAATAAAATAGATTTTTTTTTTTTTTTGAGAATGAAATAAAAATTTGGGTTATTCTTAAAACAAAAAATGATTTTATTTGTGTTCTCTTTAATTTTGAATAACAAATCCTATAGACAGGAATTTCCAGTCATAAAATCAAAGATTACATTACAATTATTAACTAAGAAAAATATATAAAAAAAAGATTAAATTACAAAATTTCTCTACCTGAATCTGATCAGTTTTAGCAAAAGCTGTAAGGATTATCACTAACACTCCTATTTGCAGCAGATGGTATCTCAAAATGCCATAGCCTCCCTACCCCTTTTACCAAATACTTCTCGCACAAAAATTCCCTTGCATATGTTTTCTCTACCTTTCTATCCACGTCATGCAAGTACACATGAGTCACACCTGGCCGCGTTCTACCACGCGCCATCACGGCCGCTGAGAATATAGCCCCCATTCTCCCTGGAGCCTCCGCAAAATACCCTCTCGGCGCGTCGATCATTATTACATCCCATTCTTTATCTAACACCTCGTTTGGCAACATGCTTAGTGCTAACTTGCACTGGGTGTTTCCCTTGATGCGTACGTTTGGTGGCAAACACTCCTTTTCTTGCCTATAAGACGCAAGAAGCATGTCCGCCTCTCGGAGTTGTGTAGGGTACTTGACGACGTGGGCGCGTAAATTTGGAGCCCGCTGGAGAACTGAATGGACCCACTTAGGGTCCTCTTCGAGGAATATAGTGTTGCCACGTGGATTTAGTGAGGTCCACATTAAGGAGTCATGGCCCAAGCCAAAGACTAGGAAATTGCATGGAGCAAGCCCTTTTAAAACGTCAAAGGAAAGAGTGATTTCGGCGCGTGATTGTTGTGGGACCACTCGCGACGTGGCGTAATGGAGAATGGCTTCGAGTTGTGACGGGGTGGCTGCATAGTCCTCGGCTGCCGATGTTGTGTACGCGCCACTTAATGAGCACAAGAAGGAGCGCGAGGAGGATCCTGTAAAGCTGCCGGCGACGAGTAGAGCGGCGGTGAAAGAGGCTGCGACGAGAACGGCAATAAACCACGGCTTCTCGGAAAAGAATGAGCGTTGGGTCTTCAGCTCCGGATAGGTATTTTGTTGTTTCTTCATATTTTGGTTTTCGTTTGTGTATGTGTTTCTTGATAACTTGATATATATAAATAAATTGTTCGAGAAGGGAAGAATAAGATGAATAAAAAAAGGGAAAAGAAAGAACTGTATAAAGGAAATAATGAGGGTAATGGGTTTTTTTCTTAGGAAGGTTTATGATATAGAAAACTATGGGTGTGGCATAAGTAATAATGTCTAGCTAAGGGCCATTCTTTTTGATGGAGAGGAAAAATGAAGTGATGGAGAAGCTATAATTCAGATAAGATATCCTAAACAAATAAGGGATGTAAATGATGGAGAGGTATTTGGAATTTATTATCCATCATTTGTTGAGGTAATTCCATTTTAGTACTTTCTTAAAAAAATGGCGATATGCATATTTTTAGGATTAGAAAAAATTTGTTTTTCTAACACATTTTAGTGTATGATTTGCCAAGTGGGGGCGCAATTATATTCCTTTCCAACATGACATTTAGAAGAAGCGCATTTCTAACGTGATAATTTTAAGGATTTCGTTTTCAATAGATGTCTCATCCTAATTAAATTTGAGATGGAGCAGATAAGATTTTTAAATCGATTAAAAATCAAATTTGAAATGGGGCATTTGAAATTTTATGGATATGGTAGAATGAGATAAGACATTCTATCCCAATAAAGAGCCTTCAATTAAAAGAAAATGATGGAGAAAAGGAAAAATAGTTACACTTTCTTCTATTCTTGTTGTGGGTTTAGAATCATTCTAATGTTAACCCGCCAACTTGGAACTGAAAGGGTGAGCTGGTGATGAGAGAGATTCTTCTCCAAACTGACATTAATTTGTTTTTGTAGAATGATGGGTTATGTTTTTTATGGCCCATTTATGGCCTACGGGTAAGGCCACTAATTCCCTCACGGCCCTTCCCCTTTCTCAAAGTCCAAGACAAGGCCCAAATAGGCCTAAACTTGAAAGCAGAGAGTCCAATATTAGCAAATAGGCAGACCCACTAAACATGTCTAGGACGTATTAGTGAAATAATTAATTTCTGGAAAGGAGGAGATTATAAAATAAGTTCTAAGAAATTGTAGAAATAATTAGTAAACTTAATTTTTTTCAATGGAATAAATAATTTTGAATAAAATAATTTTTTAAAAACAACGAATATAATGGATGAAGAAAATAGTAGGTTAATACAAAAAGAATTATTAAAATAAATAATAAATAGAATAAAAAATAAATGTTATTAAATTAAGAGGCATAATTAATAATTAAATAAATTAAAAATAATTTAAGTGATTTAATTACTTTTTCGGTTACTTTTTGAAAAAACCCTTAAACAGCGGGTAAAAGATGTAAAACTGATATTAACTCTCTCAATGTTAATTGTCCATAGGTAGCCAACCTATAAATGGCACACGTGTGAATTATTTCGAGGATAAGCAATCGTCTTTCCCTGCCTCTCCCCTTTCCTTCGATATCCTTCGCATTGCTGTAAGTCTTCAGCTTCAAAATCGTCCCTAAAAACCTCAAAGTTCAAATTAGCAATTCACTGTAAAATTTAAACGCTAATACTAATTTGATTCTTTTTGTTTCAATTTGCAGCTGAGAGAAAAAAAAAATGGCAGCCACCGCCGCTGCTATCAGCTTCAATCTTATTGGCTCATTCAAAGGTCTATCTTTATCTAAAAGCTCTTCCTCTTCCTTCTTCAAAGGCGATACAGCCTCCTTCAATCTGACCACTTCCAGAAACTCCGTCTCCTTGCCGTTAAAGACTCCGTTTCCATTGACAATTGAGATGGCTCACAAGAAGGGAGCTGGGAGTACCAAGAACGGCCGTGATTCAGTAGGCAAACGTCTCGGTGTCAAGATTTATGGCAACCAAGTCGCCAAACCTGGATCAATTATTGTCCGGCAGCGCGGAACCAAGGTGTGACCTTTAAGTTCCTCACTTTTAGTTACCACTATGAGTTTTGTGCATTGTGGATTTTAATTTCAAGGAAGTGGTTGCTAAGATGTGAATTTTTATCCAAATCCTGTTTGAAAGACAGAAAGTTCTAATTTCGCTGATATTGCCATTGTTTTGAAAATTATAGCTCAGACTAATATGCCTAGTGCTCCATAGATATTTTTTTGCATACAGTTTTGAAAAGGGCATTTAGCATTTCATGTCATTTAGCTTGGTTTGCAACAGAAAATTTGATTTCGATGAGGGAATTTCAATTTTAATACTCTACATTCCTTCCTGTTTTGCTTTGCATAATATTTTCCCCAATCTTTCTTGGTGCTGGTTTGGTGTAAATGAATTTGAAGTATCGAATTAATCCATTAGCGATAGAATCCGATTTAGTTATGTTGAATTCTATAAAATTTAAATTTAAGGGAGTGAAATGAACATTTTCTTTGATGACAAAAATAAAATCTTGAAAATTTGAAATGAATTCCACAGTTTTATGGAATTAATTGGCACAAACGTTGCCTTTATGTACTTGAAATTCCTCTGTTCAGAATACATGGCTGCTTGTAATGACCACTGCATATTATTTGTTTTGACAATATTTCAGTTCCATCCGGGGAAAAATGTGGGGCTTGGCAAGGATTACACCATTTTCTCTTTGATTGATGGACTTGTAAAATTCGAGAAGTTTGGACCTGACAGGCAGAAGGTTGATTTATGAGTTTCTAAATTTTATTTTTGTGATTCCATAAACTAGATATTGGAGATTGACACATCTAACGGATTTCTGTTACTGACAGATAAGTGTTTATCCACGAGAAATTCAGCCTGAAAACCCTAATAGCTTAAAAGTAAGGATGAGAGAGTACTTTAAGATGCGACGCGAACGTAAGAAAGCAAGGAAGGAAGCAAAGGAAGCAAGAAAGAAAGGCATTGTTGTTGAGCCACAACTAGTACTTGCTTCTAATGTTGATGCTACAGATGCTAATGCTGTCTGTTGATTCTGAAAGGAGGTCTATTTTTTAGAATATTTTGCTTTACAAAAGCAAACCCTGCAAATCTTGTTTATTGAACGGCTTCTATTTTAAAATGCATTCTAGATTTGATCATGGTTGCTGTATGAAATATGCTGATTCTAACTTCTTTTGTGTATGCTGATCCGTTCTATATTTTCCTACTACGAAGTCTGCGTGATTTGAATTTAGTGCCTGACTGCATTCTACTTGACCATTTTATCAGGAGAAAATGTTGAAGCAGAACATCATATTAGACAAGCTGTTAGAGGTATAAACCTCAGTGTGCCTAATCATTTTTCGGAAACTTTCACAATTGCATTTAAAAAATACCAAAATGTAAAAATCGACATCGTGTCCTTGGTTTTCAAGACAAGGAAAAGTTTCACCTGGTACAGATGAGATGAGGCATTAGTTACTAATTTACTTCAGAAAGATTATATCCTGATTATATATTTCGATTCGTACACAAGTGTCATGGGTCTTGCCGGATAATTTGGACAATGAAATAGTTGTTTGATTCTTTTCTTTAAATTGAAATTAAAAAAAAAAAAAAAAAAAAAAAAAAAAGGAGAAAATGTTGAAGCTAGAACATCATATTAGACAAGCTGTTTAGAGGTATAAACCTCAGCTGTGCCTAATCATTTTTCGGAACTTTCAACAAATTGCATTTAAAAAAGATACCAAAATAGTAAAAAATCGACATCGTGTCCTTGGCTTTCAAGACAAGGAAAAGTTTCCCACCCTGGTACAGATGAGATGAGCATTAGTTACTAATTACTTCCAGAAAGATTATATCCTGATCTAATATTCGATTCGTACACAAGTGTCATGGCGTCTTGCCCGGATAATTTCGGACCTAATGAAAATTAGTTGTTTGATTCTTTTCTTTAAATTGCAGAATTTAAAAAAAAAAAAAAAAAAAAAAAAAAACTTGCGTTAAAAAAAAAAAAAAAAAAAAAAAAAACTTGGTTTAACACATCTGTGGGGTAAATCGATCCAGTCAGATAACCAGATAAAAGTAACCAGAAATTTCATATCATATCCTTGATCTAACAGTCTCATACAAACAAATAAAAATGCAACTTCTGACACTAACAGTAGCACTTCCACTACATTGTAATTTTTCCCTGGACATTTATAATGGAGATACTAAACCGCCGTTTTCTGTGCTCGTTATCCAATATGACCTGCGATAGTAACAAAATATTAGATATTCAGATCACTCCAAAATGAAACAGTACAAAAGTACCATTCATGTTAGGGTGAGTTCACAACAACACAATAATCTCCAAGTCCTCGACAATATTATAAAATTAACCTTCTCATGCTCCAAACATTTTATTAAAAGTTTACTCCAACAATGACTAACTCGTGAATAAATATAAAATATGATGGCAGTGTTTGTGCATGCACAACTAAGTGCATTTATCCATGATTAGCACCCTAACCATTATTAAATCAAGAAGAAAATTTTCTCAAATGTAAAACTAAACAAATTTCACACAACCAAGATATGGCATAAAGGGTCAACATATCTTCATGCCTACTTTTTTCTTTAAGCAAGTTCAGAAATCTAAGTTGGAACTCGAGCATTCTTCCATGTATTATATCACATTGGCATTTGCACTTAACAAGGATTAAAAGGGTTCTATAGTTCATCTGTAAATCAATAGCCCAAGGTGAAATAGAAGAGTCCGTAAGCAGTTGAACAAGCTCATTACATTCTAATTGCCTATTTCATTAAGATTTAGCTTCATCTTAATTCTAGTATTAAACATATATTACATAGGTTCTACACAGAAAATATTTCAGTTTTGAACTGTACAATTAGAACAACGTTAACATCCTGCATCTGTCTTCAGTACATTTACTAACGTCGATAAACAAATTTAGATTTCAACTCTTCTGCAATCTTCAGTACATTTACTAACGTCGATAAACAAATTTAGATTTCAACTCTTCTGCAATCTTCAGTACATTTACTAACGTCGATAAACAAATTTAGATTTCAACTCTTCTGCAATCTTCAGTACATTTACTAACGTCGATAAACAAATTTAGATTTCAACTCTTCTGCAACTCCAATTATCAAATCATCAAAGCATACAATGTCTACAGCTCTTTTTATTCTTTTTCCAAGGATTACAGTACATTTCTCAACAAGAATACTGCTAGAACAAATATTTCTCAACAAGAAATACTGCTAGAACAATCATTAGTGCAACTATTACCAGGAGACCTTCTATTCCTAAGAGAAGTGAATTAAAATAAAAAGATATAAGAGGCAACAAGTGTGTGGAAAAACAGTAACATTGTGTTTGGATGATGGGATCTGAAATACATAATATGTAGATTTCTTTAAGGCTCATAAAATGAGAATAAAGAAGTGATTTGTGTCTGAACTTTAAATCATTTTAAATAAATTTTCTACATCTTCGTGAATCTAATCTGTCAAAGAAAGAGCTAATTATCAGCAGAGAAAAATGTAAACTGAAACCAATTTCAATTCCAAATCTTTTGTTGAATATTGTATTATAAGTTTGGAATACAACTTTCAGTATTCATTAAAAGATCATATAAGTTTTGATTATTGAACTATTTTCATATGATTTTCTAACACTATAAATCTAGACTAGCTCAATCCATATGGCAGTGCATGCAATAGAAAACCTCAAAGAAATAAAAATGTTTCAGGCATCCTAATCACATCTGAGACCTAAATTTCCATTCTTAAATATTCCTGTTCTATGCAAGCATTCATATTTTCACATTTACAATTTCCAACGAATAATATAAAGATTTCAAGTTTTGAACACAAATCAATCACACATAATTCAGAAACTTAGCTCTTCAAATAATCATAGAAACCAATTATAATCTCACAAACTAAATGAACAAAGTAAAATAATTAGGAACATAACAACGCTTACCTTACTAACTAGATCCAACAATGATATTGTTGATAGGAATGAAGATCAATTTCACGAAGAAACCAACAAATCCCATCACAACGAATCCGATCGCCGTACGAAATGCCACCTTAGTAAATTCTACACACAAAACAGCAAGAGAAACAATAAATCGGCAGATCGTTTTTTTTTTTATCAAAATCCACAGCAAATGCAAATCAAGATAAAACTAACCTTTGCGATCAGGCTTGTGGCATCGCTTAACGAGTCGGACGCTGTCCTTAGCGAATTCTCTAAGAGGATCGAACACAGTATCGATTGCGTCCATTTTTTTTTTTTTTTCTGATAGCTTTCTGTTTTTTTTGTTTGTCAGTTGAGAGAAACTTGATTGGGATCTGAGAAAATGGCGATAAGAGCGTTCATTTAACAACTCTATTAAGGACATGGAGAATGATATTTTATTCTTAGAATTCGAACTGACCTAAATGCCCCTGATGACGCTATGTGGTTGGACAATTCAGTCCTTGCATTAGGAACGATGTCGTTTTATTAGTTTCGTTTAATCACATCTACATACATGGAGCATATCTGAGCGAGAGTGGAGTCAAACGCGTCAAATTACAGATTTGGTCATTTTAAGGCGGATGGAGTAAATAAAAGACCTACATGGCTATGTCGTTTTCAGTTAATATATTGGACCAATATTTTGTACAGGTAGTCATCTCCTTTTCGTACCAAGAACCACCTGCTTATTACTCACATTGCAGTTACACAGATTCAAGGAGATTCTTCCATTCAAAAAAAAAAAAAAAAAAAATGACAAAGAGACAATTACCATGGCTATGTCCGTTTCAGTTACTAATTATATTGCGCCACAATATTTCTTTGTTACATAGGTAGCACTATCTCCTTTTACGTTCACCAAGAACCAACCTGCTTTATATTACTCCACATTGCAGATTACATCAATTCAAAGTGAGATTCTTCCATTCAAATAAAAAAAAAAAAAAAAATTCAAAAAAAAAAAAAAAAAAAGATTCCAGGAGATTCTGAATCAATTATTTTGCCTCCGGGAAAACAAAGCATGAAGTGGAACAAATTCTATCACGAACAACAATCCAAGTACTTTTATTCCTCAAAGAATACATATCCATTTCAACTCCACAAGTACAAATAATCCTCAGGTATTAAATTCAATAAAAATAATAAGGAAAAAGCACAAAAACTTAGAGGTTAAGACAAACATAGGCAGCCAATTTGCCTCCACCAAGTCAACTTCTGATGTAAATTCAAGTGGATGATTTTGTGAAAACACACGTCTTCTACATAGCATTTGTCGTCTCCTATTGCTCCCATCATGTAGCCTTTCATTGTTGCTTGAAGAAGCCATTGCTACTATTGGTCGAAGGAGGCAAGTTATTTACAAGGTAGATGGCTATCTCTTTGTTCCAGATTGTGCACTGCTTTCTTGCCGAATAGCTCGAGGGACAAATGTGAGCCCGTGAGTATTGCGGCGACCAAAGCTGATAGAAGAAGGAGTTGAATCTGAAGTGGTTAATCTAGATACTGCTGATACAAGGCCATCAATAGTTTCACCTTCTACTTCCATTTTACTTGAAGTCTCTTCTCTCTTTTGAACAGCCTGTTTACGCTGGTGCTTCTGTCTTGCTTTCTTGGATGGGTGGGTCTTCTTAAAGAATTCAAATGTACTTGGGAATTTATGCTTGTCCACCAAATGCTGTTGCCTGCTTTTGTAGTTCTTGAATTTCAAACCACAACCTTCCACCAGGCATTCATACTGTCAAACAATAGTGAAAGAACATCAAGCGTTTGACAGAGAATTTTTTACAAAATGTTCTAGTACATTCGGAAAAATGAAGATAGTTTGATTATGTCTAGTCTAAAGCACAAGCTTAGATTATAAGAGCGGCCAGTTCAATGAACAAACAGGTTAATACTTAACATCAAGCTAACAAAGACGTGCTTGCATATATAATTGAACCATCCATTCAGAGTGTAATCCTACTTAGTTTAATTTCCATCCGTACAGGATAGTTGATCAAGTCAGTAAAAGTACGTTGCACATAGTATCAGCTAACCACCAAGGAGCAAGGAAAAATGAATCAAAAGCATAGATGGCCTGCATCATCATACAGGTTTCACACAAGCCATATCATGATTACAAAAAACATAAATCATGTACTAACACATTTAATTAAATGCTGTATTTATACTATACTAAAATCAAATGAAAAATTAGAGGTTATATAGACCAAAATTATAACTCAAATAAAAAAGATAACTAACAAAAAATACCATGGCATATCCACGTGCAACTTTTGCCTGAAAAAATGAATCATGTGCTTCAGATACATGTATGTTAAGCAAGCGCGACGTTGGGTAAACTCTTGAGCACACTGAACAAGATGCAGTGTGTCGTGCATTGTAATGGTCTTCAAAGTCTTCCAAAGATGTCAAGCGTGCGCCGCATCCAACAATGGGACAAAAAACCTCCCTGCCCAAACATTGGTTTTTAAATTAAGCATAATTAGTTGAAAAATAAGAAGAAATATATCTGAAAATCCAGAATGAAGCAGAAAGGTATAATTCTGAACTCACAAATTGTCATCACATAATAGAAAAAGATAGTTAAAACATCTTTTGTTTCAAATCATCTTTCTTCCAAACAATTAAGAAAGACAGAGCAGAAAAAGAATCAAGGCTCTGTTTCTTACTAGCCATAAAAATTGGTACTTCAAATAATAATCTTTGACAGTGTATTCATATAAAGAGGGAGTTAATACCAGCAATTAAGTAATCAACAAATTCTCTTCAAATAATTTACAATAATAAACATATATTAGCCCTTATATTCAGCAAGTACATAAACAATTAGCAGAGAAAATCAAAAAAGAAACTATCATTGCAACTCTGGCGGAAAATGAGGATTCAAATTCAAAGCCATTAATACCTGTCATCGTCATCCACCAAATTCTGCAACCGATGCTTTTCATCTTCAGTTAAATCCAATGCAATCTGGAAACATAATAAGTGATTAAAGAATTTTTAAAATTATTCATTTTACATTCTGCAAGAATTCAAAAACAAGAAGCTCAAGATCAACTAGAGACAAAAACCTGTTTAGCGATGAGCTCTCTCTCGATGTTGCCGTAATCAAAGAAGGGAGAATCGGGATCAAAACGTCGACGGACTGGTGTCCAGTACGGAAACCCTAACGTCCCTTTCGCATCTATATCTACAACCATAGCCATGGCTGACCGTTTTGCTTCGGTGACAGAAATTTTTAAGTTCTGATTTCAAAATCACAATTCAAAATGGAACGTTAAGCCTGAGCCAGTTTCTAGACTTGTGTGGATATACTCAAATAGCTCCGTTCGTTTCAGTGGAGAGTTGGGCCTTCTTTCACTGACCCAACTTACAAGCCCAAATTGAACCAGGTGGACACCTTGAAGCTTGAACATGTTTGGGGGATCCAAAATGCCTTCTAATTAAAAAAAGGAATAACAATATATATATATATGGAAATGAGTGAATTGAATGATGAAATCAATGGCATCATGTTACATGCTTATATTAATTAAGAGTCTTTTTAATTCCTTTATATTTTTTATTTTTGGGAATTAATTAATTTATATTTTGTGCCAAATCTAAGTCATAAAATATAACACGTAAGGAGAAGATTTTTCAACTCTTTTATGTCAATAAATAAAGTGTTGGCCTTAGGATATATTAATTGCAGAAATATTGATAAAAAATTGATATTCAAGAACGAATTCTTATGTGAACATTTGAATATTTAATTGGACTAATAACGGATTTGTTATAGTGTCATTGTCGTTTGGAGCTCACAAGCAAGAGAAGGTTTCAACTTTGAGCTTTCAATTTCAAGGCCAAGAAGCAGCTACCTGTTAAGAATTAACCAATAGAACACCTGCCTCTAATAAGTAAGATAAACGGAAGATGATTGATTTGACTAAATTTTTATTGGATAGTCCTACAAGAAAAGAACAACTGCAGCCAAAAAATTAATTAAAAAACACGAAGTTACAACTTGCAAGAATCAATGAAGTATTTTCTTAAGCAAAGGACTAGTTGAAAAAGAACTAGTTCGGTTTGTGTATGCTTAGAAGGAGTTCTTCTTCTTCTTCTTCTTCTTCAAATATACATGTAAGAATCAAGGTTCAAGGGACACGAGAGAAGTGGGGTTTTCTGCTACTTTTGTTTAAGGAAAATGGACGCAAGGAAAGACTGGTTTATGTTGATATTGATAGTTTTGATGATGATGATTAGAAGGGGAGAAGGACAACTAATAGAGAACTTCTATAGCTCAAGTTGTCCAAACGTAGAAGCTATAGTGAAGCAGGTAGTGACCAAGAAGTTCACCGAGACGTTCCCGACAGTTCCAGCAACTCTTCGTCTATTTTTCCATGACTGTTTCGTTACGGTAAATGATTTACTGCTACTTAATTATAATCTAATTAATGTCAATCATCTTTCTTACTGGTAAAAAAGAACTTTGGTAATGCATATTTAATAAGCATAAGGCATTTCTATACAAATACATGTAGGTGTGTGTTTGCGGGTGATGATCCATTTTATTTTGTTGATAGATATGAAAATGCATGGGGCTCATTAGTTATCAAAAGTCATTTTAATTGCAGGATATATACACTGAAATTGGAGTATGTTTCTTTAACTTTTTTACTTTCTACTTGGCAACATTTTTCCCTATATCAGATTAAATCTAGATCATTCAAAAACAAATTGGACCATTCATGCTGAATTTTTGTAAAAAAGAAAATTCTTTGGTGGTGAAATTGGTCACAAGTCATATTATAGGACGTCAAATTGGTAAGAAAAGTCTAAATTTTTTATTACTTTTGTGGTGAAAAAAGTATATAAGCGGAGACCTTCTATGACTTGGGTCATTTATATCATAAGAAAACCAATTAAGACTATATCTAATTGGTAAAAACAAATTTATCTATCTCTTAATTATTTTAATAGCTTTAACTATATAGTAATTGGACTTTTCTATTTCCAATTTTAAACCACGCCCAAAACCCAACCATTTAAATGGGTACCTCTCTTTTAATTATCTTATTTTGCTCATGTTTAATTTCACAAACCACTCTTGATATTAAATAGTACTAACTGCTTTGTTTAAAGGGTTGTGATGCCTCAATTTTGATTTCATCACCAAATGGAGATGCAGAGAAAGATGCTCCAGATAATCTTTCTCTTGCAGGAGATGGCTTTGACACTGTAATAAAAGCAAAGCAAGCAGTTGAACAACAATGTCCCAATGTAGTCTCATGTGCAGATATTCTTGCTATTGCTGCTAGAGATGTAGTAGTCCTGGTAAGAAAGTATTCAGGGTTTCTAAAATAAAGAAAATTTTGAATAAGGCTTGTCAGGTTAGGCTTCTAGAAAAAATTTGACAATTTCAAACCAAGGCTTTGTCCATGAACAAGCTTACTTTTATTCCAAATTCATATATTAACTTAAATACATATATTTTCAGGCTGGAGGTCCTTCATTCAACGTGGAATTGGGGCGTCGAGATGGCTTAATTTCTAAATCATCACTTGTGACAGGAAATTTACCCGAACCTAATTTCAATCTTGCTCAACTTAACACCTTGTTTGCTAAGAACAACCTTACGCAAATTGACATGATTGCACTATCAGGAGCACATACAGTAGGATTTTCCCATTGCAATCGCTTTGCAAATCGCCTTTACTCATTCTCTCCATCTTCTCCTGTTGACCCTTCTCTGGATCCTAACTATGCCAAGCAGTTGATGGAAGCCTGTCCTCAAAATGTAGATCCTACCATAGCCGTAGACATGGACCCAACTACCGCAAGAACTTTTGACAATATGTATTATCAAAATTTGATTGATGGTAAAGGCATGTTTACTTCAGATGAGGTGCTTTTCACTGACTCGAAATCTAAATCTACAGTCATTGAGTTTGCCAATAATCCTGAAGATTTTAAAGCTGCATTTACTGTAGCTATGAGAAAGCTTGGAAGAGTTGGAATTAAGATTGGTAACCAAGGAAGAATAAGAATAGATTGTACAGACATTAATTCTTAATATATATGTTTGTTTAATGCATATTTGCTTTCAATTATGTGAAAAAGCAATTGAATCTAATTGTATAATCTTTAGAGCAATTTCATATATAAACTAAAGTGCTCCTTCCTCATCCAGTAAAAAAAATAAATGTTTAAATCTGAAAGATTTAGTTGCACTTTCCAGCAATTGGATATATGTTTTTTTTTTTACATATATATGGTTGAATACATAAATTCATCTATGAACTTTGCGACTTTAACTTTATGACACCATAATCTTTACAAATGATTTATCGTGCACTTGAATATGTAAATTTTATTATTATTACATACCTTTCGATATTAATATCAAAGTTTTTAGGATGTTTGGCTTCTATTTGTAAAATATCGATTTGACAAGTAGTTAGCATGACTATTGGAACAATAATTTTCATAAGTTTCAACTTTTTAATCAGTGTTTAATTGATCTAATTTTGCAAGTTGAAGTATTCAATAAAATAATTTTAAAAATTAAAGTGTTTAATATGTATATTTTTATAATTAGTTTAGGTGTTTGATAGGTCAAAGTGAAAGTTGAGGGTGTCACAAAGCTTAATTAACAAAGTTTATGAGTAAATTTATGTATTCGGATGTAGATATTTATATTATGTATGTATCTATCCCATCTACCTTGGCTCAAAAACTAATAATACAGATTATCTAATGTTTTGGGGTGGTAGAATTCATGCTAAAAACTTTCTAAACTCTTGTTATCCTTAGGAAAAAGGATTATTAATTCTTTGGCATAATGTTAAAATCGTGAGAATGATTCAAAGAAGATGTGAAACTGAAGAAAATGTGGAAATAAAGTTAGATAATGTTTATTATCGGTCTTTGAGTCAACGTAGAGAGGTGTTTACCTCTGATGCGGTCCTAGTGTTTAATCCAGTTTCAGAGGCCACTGTGTAGTTATTTACCAAGTAGGACGCTTTTATCTAGCCACATGTTATGCTTGAAATATAAGCGAATAATCATTGTATAGGACTTCGATCTTGCAACCGTGTCTTCCACAATGTAATAAGCTTCTGGGCTCTCTCATCATAGAATTGAGGAGTTAAACTTGAATTCGCAATATCGATAGAGAAGAGAGAAGACGATGAGAAGAAGAAAGAACTTCATTTTTTTTTATCTTTACTACTGAATTAAGAGAGCTTCCCTACTTGTGCGATTTGTAAAGAAAAAGTTACACTTGGTAAAATAATGTTTTTGATTCTTTGACGTTTCTCTTTACTTAAGTCATAGTTTCATCTAACTAAATTTGGTTGGTTTGAATATCTCTCCTCTGCAACGTTATTATTTTAAATATTTTTTATATTTTATATATATTAAATTCAAAACTCACAAAAAGGATTTGAGCTCTTGGCACATTGCCAAAGCCCATTCATCGCTCCTCTTCCTTTTCTTTGGCAAAGTGCCAAAGCAGGGATATTACAAATTAAGAGATTGATGAAAACAGAAAGTTGAAAAATGAGAATCATACAAAATAAGAGATTCTATTGGGACCGTTTGAGATTTTAGAATCTGTATCTTTGTTTTATTTTATTTTATTTTATTTTATTGTGTGTAAATACTTAAAAGGAGGACACATATAAATACACACAAATTGGAAAAAATAGGAGACCACAAATAAAGAAGAAAGAAAGTGAAGATAGACCAATATAATAATTCTTATTAATTTTGCTAAGGTTAGGATGTTATTGTTTGCAGAGTGACAAGCAAAGGTCAATTCTGGAGAACATCAACTGGTGATGATGGGCTGATGCTAAGCTAAGGTCTGTAAGTGTATTAGTCAATGCTTCATAGCTTAGTACATCCCTTTTGGTTATGGATTAAAATGGCAATTAATAGATAATATTTTTCTTTTCTTAGTTTGCAACTTGCAAGGATTCTAAAATTTTTTGTTAATGTATTAATTGCTTAAAACAGAAATTTAAAACAATAATAATTTTTATGCATTTAATTAATTATTTGGACATTCCTTTCCATTTTCATTTCTATTTCCAATGTAAACAAACATGTCCTAACAAATGGTAAAATCATATTAAAGTAATAACTGCCTTAAACTTAAAAACTCAAAAAATTATTGCAACACCAAATACCAATCAATGGCAGCAAAATGGTATTGATTATCTATAAATAAAAAGATGAAAATTGATTGTGCAGTAGAAGATGAAAATATACAACACTTCAACATTTCAAATCAGGATCTCTTGTCACTAAATGGTTGCACCCAGTTTAAAGATGTTATAAATGAAAAAGGGACAGATGAAAAGAAAAAATCCTGAAGACTGAGAGTGCTTCTGCAATATGCTCAACTCTGTTGTCCTGCGAATAATTTCTTCCAAAAAACACAGGAAATTCTCAAAACCTTGGCTGGAGTATACAAACATTATCGTAAAATGGAAAAGTACTCTAGTTATTATAGCGTAGTTTATTTCTGCTCTCGAAATGATCCGAGAGACTTTCCATAGAGGTTTGCATAGACAATCTTAGTCCTATGCACAAGAATCATGCTTAAGATAACTGCAATAATGCAAAATCCTGACATGATCATGGAAGTAAGGAAGTAGCAAATAGCACCTTCACACTTCAGTGGTTCATCCAAAACCAGGCCTGAAATGAGTGATCCAGCATTCAAGATAGGGTGATGGCGCTCATGTGCCTGCCTTTCAGCTTCTTGGTCATAAATGTGACTGGCAATTAGACCAGAGAAGACAAGAGAACCTGCAGGATTTGCTAGAGTGAGGAAATTATACAGAGCTCCAAACTTTTTCAAACCAAACAACTCGGATGCAGCAGCTGGTACAATCGCCCAATGAGCCCCGTATCCAAGACCAATTAGTAAAGTACCAATGTACATTGCACCAGGCCAGCCGAAAGCAAAGAATATATGTCCAATGGCCATAATAAATTGCGCAACAGCCATTGCCACCGGCCTTGGATATGCATAGTCCCTGAATAACATCAAATATATAAGTGAGAAGAATAACTTGATGTGGAAATTCAAATTGAAACACATTCAGCATCCAGAAGAAAATGAAATGCATTCTTACCTGACAATAATCTCAGAGAAGTACCCCCCACCAACACGGCCAAGAAAGTTCCAAATGCTGATCATGGACACAAATATATGTGCATTATCATATCCTAGGGACTGGCTCATTTGACCCAGGTTATCAATCACAGTCAAACCAGATCCAGAACCCAATAAAAGGGATACAAAAATAAGCCAAAAGTCTGCCTTGATCAATGCCTGCATCAAGGTGAAATCCTCACCTCTTCGTGGACCTCTCCGCCTTTTGACCCTCACGGCTCCTTCCGCAGCTGCTTGGAATAATTTTGCCTGCAACTGTGCAATTCGTTTGTGCCTTTCCGATGCTGGAAGTAAGTCTACTTCCCTAGGCTTCTCATCTTCCAACTCACTGAATATTACCTCAGGGGTTTCTGTTCCAGATTTTCCAGCCTCTTGTTTCTGTGGCTCAGGTAAAAGATTCTCTTCTACTGGATCTCTTGGTTCTTGGTCACAGCTCAATGAAATAGGAATCACAATAGGAAGCAAAAGGAGAACAAATAAAACTACTGTAAAAATTTTGACAACAGTGTTGCTCACATCAACTAGATCTTCAAGAAGCATGACCCCCATCAAATAAGCAGCCAGTAGAAGGCATATGCTATATACAAATGTAAAACTTGTTTCATCAGATGTTCTAACTTGTCTGTGACCTCCAACAGGTCTTACAATGAACATTAGAGCAATGACTACCATTGCTGGCCCTACTGCAACCATGAATATGAGAGATGCATGATTAGGAGAATGGATCATTGTATATATTTGAGTCAAAATTGCACCACTTAAGCCAGCAAAGCCTTTGAGTATTCCCACCACAGGACCCCGGCTTTTGGGAAAGTTCTGTACACAAGAAACCAGAGCAGCTGTATTGAAGTACGTTTCACCATTGTTTCCAATAAATATAAGAGCGCACATCTGCATATCAGAAATATGTTAATGTTTATTTTGATAACATATAAGAGAGAAGTTCTACATAATCTCTTCGGCCAAGTGAGAAATGTGGTGAAGAACAAGGAAAATAATCCATTGAAAAATAAGTTCCAACAGTAGACAGGAACCTCAGGAAAAGGAAGTGATTATGGAAGACACTATTGCATCAATCCTATATAAGCATTGTTTAAAGGTTATCTTCCATCTTAAAACTATCTACAATACTAAAAAGCTTAATGGAAATAAAGCACTTCATCTTCTCAACGCCTTTCACCACTCAAGATGATGTGACCAATTTCAATGATATTTGAAACCCCATATCACAACAAATATGAACAACAATGAAATTTTTCTTTACGAATAAGATGACATGCTCCTTTTTGCGTCTATGTATTAGGCACGTAGGTTATTTTATTTTATTTTTTCTCTCGCTGACACCAAATCAGAAGCTAAAAGAGTTTTAAAAAATATACATAGAAAAGCTCATTATGCAATATATTAAAGGTTCACATGCACTCTACACAAGCAAGAAGTTCATTTTTTTATGATATGAACAAAGAAAAATTTTCAAAAAATGTAGAACCTGACTCAACTTAATTGTTTTACATTTAGAACCTGCGGAGTATGACTCAACTTGATGCCCCAACCCAAAGAGAGAGACAGAGAGAGAGAGAGAGACCGTAGATCATAAGATATTTGAGAAAAAAGTTGCTGTCAAATTTGAAATGGAACATCTAGTGATAAAACATGAATAGCAGGATAATTTGCTGTCTAAAGTTCAATCCATACTGTTAAATTGAGACAGTAATCACTCTCTAATGCAAGAATAACTATTGTTGAACAATAATGCAACAACTGTTCCAATTCAACAGTACAAGAAATTTATGCAAGTCAAATGCACCTGAGATGTCAAGCACTTCTTTTGTTTTTTCTTCAATAATTCAGAGTTCATAAAAAGAGGATGTAATTTGGTGGTGCAAATAAATATCCACATGACAGTTGAATAAAGAAAACAAAACATGATCCAATTCAATAATTTCTCCCAAATCAATAAAAAACACATTAAAAGATTCCAGAATTCATGAAAATGCTTAGAAGCATTGCTTATTTTCTGCCCTCAACACTAATGTGTATGTTCATTAATGCACACAGTAATGAGATGTTAGAGCAAAGAAAACTGAATTATCAGTGAAAAAATAGCGTGAAACTCATCTTTTCCCCTTCAAGAAGAAAAGCAATAACAAAATAAACTTCCAAATTTCATTAAAATCAACATAGATCTTATGCATGAACAAGAAACAATACAAAAGATCAAAGGGATAGGAACGATGACACTTTTATATCATAAAATTTTAGTTCAGACAACTTAAAGCAATGCAAGTAATGGACAATAAGAAAATAAAGGACTTGAATCTCCTTCTACAAACTCATTCACAATGATCATAGAAGTTCCAAACAAAAAGTAGACACTAAGACAAAGCATAAAATTCCAACGGAAATTTTTTGATTAAATGAAATCCAATTAAGTCTATTGAACTCTTACAATCAATTGTTGAGAAAAAAAAAAAAAAAAAAAAAAAATTAATGGAAATAAGAAAAATTAAGAAGGACTTGAAATTCTCCTTCTACCAAACTCATCAACAACTGATCCATTCTAGAAAGTTCCAAAACAAAAAGGTAGAACACTAAGACAAAGGCATAAAATCCAACCGGAAAATTTTTTTGATTAAATGAAAATCCAATTAAGTCTATTGAAACTCTTACAATCAATTGTTGAGAAAAAAAAAAAAAAAAAAAAAAAAAAAAAAAAAAAAAAACAATGAAAATTGAAATACAGGAAATACAGGGTATTCATTTTCGGCAAAGAAAAGCATAAACGAAGTCACTGAATTAAACAATTGGACAGACCAAGTGATGAATTCAAATCTTATAATACAATAAACCAAAAGAAAAACTAATTTGTAAGTACTTACAGCCCACAAAGGCAAAACTGGAGCTCTACCAGTGACAACAAGCCAAACCCAACCATATCCAACAAGATTTTGCAAGACACCAACAAGCAAAGCACCCCACAAAGGCAAAATTTCAGACAAGCTTCCAGCTAAAAACCCAACACTATCTCCAAGATCCTTAGCCACACCCAAACTCGCGAGCTGCCTTTGATTATAGTTCAAAGAGCTCTTTATAACCGGTGATATACTCCCAAACAAATACCCCATACCTGCACAGGATTGTATCCACATTGCAGCCACAAAAACCAACCATCTATTGTTAATAAACGCAGAAAATCTCTCCTGCAACGTACCCATCTTCACAAAGTCAACAAGAAAAGCTTTATTTGATTGAATTGAATCCTTTCTTTCTGTGAAATGGAAAATGAACAAAATCGAGAAATGGGTGGTTTTTTAAAAGAGGCTTGATAAGCTTTTTATTAATAAAGGAAGGAACTTTGGAGTTTTATATACAAAACAACAAAAACGATTACTGAACAAGTTGATATATGAGATATGCTGTTTTTAGTCGCCGATCGTTGGGAGGTGGGTTTTCTGCTATTATATTGTTATCCTTTTTGTACACAAAGACACATTGGTATTGGAAGTATTTGCAGAAATGCCACTCACGGTATTGCACATACACAGATACTAGGACGCCATTTACAGAGGATAGAGAGAGTTGACGCACTACTATACTCGGTTTTAGTTTTAACTTGAAAGGAAAAATTAGAAAAAAGTGATCTTTTTGTTTTTCCCTTTAACCGGTTTGACTGTTTCTTGTCCCCAATCAGTTATTTTTTACGATTACCAGCTAGATTCCGGTGAGATATTTTGATTGGGATCGGTAAATGAATGGGCTCCGCCCGATCAGTGATCATCGAAAAATGGTCTATCACGCCCCCATTCGTGTCAGACTTGTTCTTCACTACACACGTGTGTGATGGCCTGTGAATCAATATTTTCACAACCAAGGAGTTGAACTAAAACGGTAAAACCTACCAGGACAGATTATTACCCAACACGTGTATTTTCTTGTATATTTACGTGTAATTCATTTTTTATAATTTTACAATAACACTAAAATTTCAGTCCAAATTTCATTATATTATGAAGAGTAGAGTATATTTGAATTCCTAAAATTATGTTTTCATTTATCCTTTTATTCTTCTAGTTTTTTAAAAATCACTATATAACTTTTTTTTTTATTTAAATTCATTTTCGAGTCTTTCGAAGTTTCGTTCAAAAACAAAAATTTTACAGTAGCCAAAGTTCTGAAAATTTTTTTAGATGGAATGATCTTGTATGTCATATTAATTTTTTTTAAATAGAGGCATGAAATTATTAATTGAAATATATTTTAGAGACTTGAGTCTATTTTTTTATCCCATTGTGAATAATACCAATAATAGTAATTTTTTTTTTTGAAAAAAAAAATGCGTATCAAACAACGGTGAGATAAAAAAAAATTATAATGATTATTCTCTTATTTAAAAATAATTGTACAAGTGGCAAAATACGAGTATAAAAATTTAGCCTATTCATTCCCCTCAAAAAAAAAAAAAATCCCTATTCATGTACATAGATTAAATCTGCATTTTCATTTCATTTATAATCTACTAAAAATTCTTAATTGATTTTCTTTTCACCAATATTTAATATTTTTCCAATAATTAAAATTAAGAATAATATATATCAATATATCTCACATTTTATTCATAGTATGATACAATAATGAATATTTGAATCAGTATATATTAAAATACTAGAATTAATTAAAGCAAATTTCCGAACATTTGTTAAGTAAATACAAATTTTACAATTTTAGATTTCATGTTTCCTATTATTTCCCTCACATCTAAATAATTTAGTTCATAATTTTTTTTTTCTCTCTCTCTCTCTTTTCTCCTCCTCACTAATTCTTTTTTCTCCAACACTTTCAATTGTGATTCAATATATAATTATTGGCCTTCCCACTAACGTGGAGAGTGCGAAATGTTGATTCTCGACTTTAAAATTTTTTCATCAATTCGGTGAATTAAGAAGAGAGTCACCCATATTTTATAGTTCATAATAATATTTTCTGCTTTTTTTTTTTTCTGAGCGTGGAAATCTTTCAATAATTACCGCATTGTTAATTTTCGACTAGCATTATCGAAGGACATCATCGTGACTTAATTAGTTTGGGCACAAATTTTAATTTATTATTATGATTTTTTTTTTTCTTGCATTATCATTATTCTGACTTTCATTGCTACACGTTTTCTGCATTTACATTACTTTCAATTTTCAAAGCAGCCCTTATGACTTACAGTACTTTCTTCATTTACGTTTTCTGCATTCATTATTCTGACCCACATGGTCTTTCCTCTATTTCTATAGGTGCAAAATAACATAGGATCTTTTAACTTTTCACTAAAAAAAAAAAAATGAAAATCATTTTTAAAAAAATCTCTATTTTCATTTCTTCAGATCATAAATGGAGCGTAAATTGGACATTGGCAAGTTTTATCCTACGCAATATTGATCTCAAACACAAGCAGGGTAAAGGAGCACGTGGCATCATTTTAAGAAGACAAAGGTTTGTGGTGTGCAGGTGCAACAATAATTAAAACACCAGAAGTCTATCAATAATGTTTTGTTCTGTGGTTGGAAAATATATGTAAGTCGCTGTCATGTATGTCTGTCAATATTATATATATACGCCAATTTGCCTAGGATGTTTGGATCATGTGTTTGATGACCGTGATATCAACCCAGTTTAACCCAGCCAATCAAAAGAGTGAAAATTTTCTCTGACTTGTTAGTTGAATTTTCTCATATTGAATTTCTAACTCTACCGATTCAATTCCATTTTATATACGGTAATTTCTGTTTGTCGAAAAATAAAATGAGACGAGATTGAAAATTATATAATTCTATTAACCGTAACCTCAAACTCAATGCCAAATACCAAATACGTAATGCCTATTATGACAATCATGTATTTTGCCAGTATTATAGTACTTTTTCTACATGCATATGGACAATTACACGTAGTTACGACGTATCTACTCTTTGGATGAGAAGTTCAGAACTATTACAAAATGTCGTTTCCAGCAGCAAGCAGTCAGATTAATCATCCAGGCGATAGCTTACATTTTGACATATCATCCATCTATATCTCTTCTTATCCCTAAAATGATATATATGATATACTATATAGTAATAATAATAGAATTGATTCTGAGATTTAATTTGATTGCGACACGTATTGTTTCATGCAAGTTGAAGTATATCACATTATCTGCACTGCTCGCAGATTAGGATTGGATATATGGTACTGATTTGTTCTACTTTGGCAATAATATGGTAATTTCATATTATTATGCTTAATTATGTATTTTCTCTCCTCAAGTTGCCAATTAAAAGTGCAACTCCTTAATCACCCGCATTTAATCAGTGGTCAGTGATGTGACTAAATATGCTTCTTATATTGGCTATTTATAGGCTAACCTTAGCTAGTGGCTAAGAGAAGAATTTTTCGTAAATCATACAACACCCATTCTGTTAATTTTTACATCTTTCGACTTTTTTTTTTTTTTTTTTTTTTTTCGAACTTTTTTTTTTTTTTTTTTTTTCATTTAGATAACACTTTATAAAATTAAAATATTATTAATTACTTAATTTAAATTTCACTCTTATCGATATATTTCTATCAATCTTTATCGCTCCTAATAACAAAGAAGTAATTTAATTAATTATTCTTGTTTTTTTCTAGAATTAATACGATTCGATATTTTTTATTTAGGAGAAAAGTAGAATTCATTGAAGTTAGAAGAGAGATCAAATCAGTCTGAACATAAAAATGTAAAAAAAAAAGAGAATTTCCTATATCCAAATGAGCTCCTCAAAACTAGAAGAGAGAGTTTCTTTTGCTAAAAAATGGGCTACTCTAAATAATATGATCGGATATTTTTTGAATTCCTGTGAAAAGTTAAAAACTATCAAATTAACCAAATATAATAATATTTTAAATTGATTCCCTTTATTTATTAAATATCGATAGAAATTAAAAGGAAATAGAATGAGTTCTCTCTATATAATTAAAAGGTTCGGTTTCCATTAAACATTCCAATAAATAAAAGTAACAAAAAATAAAGATTCAATTGAACATAAAAATTAAATTAATTAAAATAAAAAGTACAATAATGGGGTAGATTGAATTAATTCTTTGCTGTATTTTTACTTAAAGAATAGATAAAATAGACATCATTTCTGTGTAATTTTGTCCATTCCTTTTTCATCAAATGTAAAATTGGCATATGGATGGTCCAGACAGCTGAAAGTATAGAAAGATAAAGGTCTCAAATGATGAGCTGCCACAAACCATTAAAAATATCCTATTCAAATAAATCGAAAAATATATAGAAATTTTTTATTTTTTTCCAAGAATAAACGTTACCTTGTGATTCTCCTCTGTCCGTACCATCCGAAGCTCACAAAAATAATAAACCAGCTAATTGAACAATAAGAGTAAAGTTAAATTTATATAACGGTAAAATTATTCCATTTATGCTATAAATTCAGAGTTATAAAAATAAATTTTTTATTTGACCATTTAAATTTGTGAAAATGCTGTTCAAAATTAAGAAAAAAAAAAAAAAAAAAAAAAAAAAAAAAAAAAGATTGCGTCAATCGACTTTCCTCAAAGCTCATAGTGGAAGCTTAGAATTATAATTAGAAATTAGAAGTTGAGATAGAATCGAAAGAAGCAAGGTCGTCCCACCAATTAAGGTACAAAACATCATCTATCAAGTCTATTTTACAGTATATACCTTTTATCATTTTATCAAACGGGCTTCCAATTGCAATTATTCAAACTTTATTATTATTTTTATATTATTTTAATTAATACGTCACATTCTCGTGAATAAAAATAAATAAATAAATATGGGTGACAAAAACACAAAAAAAAAAAAAAAAAAAAAAAAAAAAAAAAACTTTAAAATTTTTTTATTCATCTAAATGATAAATGGATGTTGTTGTCTGAAAAGAAAAAGTGAAGCAACAATATTATTTGCCTACATTGTCCCCACTACCAAAGTGACCCATCAATTCTTTAATTCCGTGTGAGAATATATGTTTGCAATTATGTTGTTTAATATTTGTTATGACTTAGGATTAGGCATAAGATTGTAAATTTGGGTTTGGTATTTCCCAAATCTAAATCATTTACCTTCAATTTTTCAAATCAAAAAAATATTTATGAGGTAAATCCAGTAAAAGTATATTTATTAAACTATTCACTTGACTCCTCAAATAATTGGTATTTAGTTTATGAAGAGAAACTATGATGCAAACGTCGATATGTCCGAGTGGTTAAGGAGACAGACTTGAAATCTGTTGGGCTTCGCCCGCGCAGGTTCGAACCCTTCTGTCGACGTTTTCCATTTCTCCCCTCTTTTTTTTTTTTTTTTTTTTTTTTTTTTCTTTTTCTCCCCTCTTTTTTTTTTTTTTTTTCTTTTTTGTGAATGTCTGTAAAACTATGAAGAGAGCAAAAGAATGAAAAGTTATGGAGCTTAAGACTCTACGAAGTTTGAACCTTGGCTATTTTATTTAGATAAAGTCCTTTACTTTCTTGTACAATTCTTGGATTTTGGTCCAAAATGGAGTTTTAAATCCAGGCTGGATGAACTCTATTGTCGGGTCCAGGATTGCCCAATAATTTCTTGGTCCTTCATTGTTTGGCCCATTATTGGAATCCCTGAGGCTATCTTTGTAATGAGGCCCAACAAAAATATAAATAACCAGGGAAGGAGCAGAACTAGCCATACCCAATGGAGCCGTGGCCCCAAAATCTTTAAAATTTTTTCTTTATAAAAAAATTATATTATTGAAATTTAAGAAATTAAAATTCGCTTACAATTTTCAAAAAATTATATTCGTTCTACAAACTTCTAACTTTTAATCTCTCCCTGACAATGATCCCAAAGTTACAACCTCGATCAATTTAGAACAGAAAGGGTGGTGATCGATTTGGTTTACGGGTGAATATCTAAATTGAATTTCAGTAAATTTTATTCTATGTTTTTAATAAATTTATGGGTGAGTTGTATTTTTTAATAAATTTTATCAATAAAGTTAAAGATTTAAAATTTAAAATTATCGTTATTGAAAAACACTTTACTTAAATAATCATTTATATTCAAAACGTGGAGACACGTGTTCAAATTAAAAAGATATATATGAATTTTTCGATCTTAATTTTTTAAATTGTACATTTTTTTTTTAGTTTGCGCATGTGTCCTGTGCTTAAGCAGAGTGACAAAATTCAGATGACACACTTCCAATAATGATAATCTTAAATTTCATTATAAATAAAATTCGTTTAGAAATACATAGTTTATTCCTACTAATTCAGCTGCCTATTATTTTGAATAGCCAAGCATAAATTTACTATGCACTTTTCGTATAAAACACTTCAATTTAATTTTATAAATTAAAATATTTAATAAATATATTTTTATAAATTTGATTTTTCAATTAAAGTAAAAATAAAAAATGTTATACATTTTCATGAATTTCAATTGTATAATACTTTAGTGTTCTATACCTTTCACTTTTAAAAATTAAAATCCACGTACTCATCAATTGGAAATCAACAATTTAGTGGACTTCTCAGTAGTACGAGGACAAATACACTAGTGGAAATGTTATTGAATAAAATCTCTTTAGTGCTTTTGGCAGCTAAGATAATAAAAGCAATCCCTGAAAAAAAACAAAAATGGTGAAAATGGATCAGTATCTGAGTATCTCCATCTCATTAAGCAAGCGGATGGTTGCTTTCCTCTGCTTTTGCATAATAAATTAGGAGTCAGATTTAGGTAAGGTGAGATCCTCATCATCCAATCTTCTTCCTGTTTTTGTTCTACCAATAGAGTATTTACCAGGAAGCTTCCTTTCTGTTGTAATGACCCCATGTGATTCGTATCTCAATGTGAATCAGAATACCTTCATCGTCTAACCTTCGCTTTTTCCTTGTCACAATCTTTGTCTCTTTTCTTAAAGCAACCGCTCGCCATTTATAATCCATTTGAGACTTCGAGAGTGAAAGCACAATCGATACACAGAGCAGATCGAGAAGAGAAAAGAGAAACGATGTCGGATTGGGGACCGGTGTTTGTTGCAGTTGTGCTATTTATACTATTAACACCAGGTTTGCTGATTCAGATACCGGGTCGACACCGGTTCATTGAGTTTGGCAATTTTCAAACGAGTGGAGTTTCTATACTGGTTCATTCCATCCTCTATTTTGCTCTCATCTGCATCTTTTTGTTAGCTGTTGGAGTTCATATGTATCTGGGGTAATAGTTATTATAATCATCTTTAATTTGAACTTTGATTTTGTGTATCTATGTGCTATGTGTTTTTGGAAGTCAATTTCTTGTGTGGCAAAAATGGAGGCTTGGGCTTTTACTGTAAAATGCTCTTGCAGAATCAAATTTAGGTCTTTTGGAGTTTGGAATTCCATCATTTTTTCTGGTTTTATCATTTTATGTACTGAATTAATTAATTTTATGGTTTTCACTTTTCAATTTGTGATTGTAATTGACAAATCAAAAGGTTATTTAGATTTTTGACTTGTTTGGCCTACGGTACAGTGATTCTTGATAGCATACAGTGCAAATGTAGCCTCCAGCTCTCTATTGAATTTATTGAGATTATTAACGAGTTGCACAGTAATTGTTATATTTGAAATATCACATTATTTAAAAATAAATTTGACTAAATTATAATAAATTGATTATATTATCTTTAATTTAATATTAATTTTTTAAAAAAATTATATTAAATTGAAGTAATAATTAAATTATAATAAATTAATTATATTATCTTTAATTTAATATTATTTTTTTAAAAAAATCATATTAAATTGAAGTAATAATTATTAGTCATATAAAGGATAAACATGAAATAAAATATTTATTATTACTTAAAATCACAAATGTAACGAGTATTTTAGAACATGCTATTTTCTTAAATGTAACAAGTACTGTGGAACAGAGTTAATATATAATAACTTTTTGAATGAAATGTTTAACTTATTGCAAATTAAATTAAATCATGTGATTTAGAGTTAACTGTTCTTTTAATTGCAATTGATTTGTTTTTTTTAATATTAAAGAGAATATTAGAATCTGAACGTCAGAATGGACATACTACTACACTATTTCTTGGTTTGCATGAGGAAGTATTGAGTTTGAATTCCTAATACAAGATTAATGGCAATTTCACCAATTTGATAAAAATTATAAAAAGAAAATTATTAATATGATTCACTATGTTTTGATTGACATGAATTTTTATGTTTAAAATTAATAATTTATCTTTAATTATAATCATATTTTATAATGTTATCCTATAACGTAGAAGATTATAGTTTAAATTTAAATGACTCCTAAAAATCAAAGAGAAAAAATAATGTTTCAAAAACTTGAAATCTACATCCATTTATAATTTTGAAAAATACATGGTTTTGGGTTTAATAAACAAAAATACACTAAAAATATTTTTAATAATATTAAATGACAATTTATTAGTGTTTATCAAACAGAACATTAGATTAATTTTGTTTGTTTTGTCTATCATACCGTGAGTCTGTGACTTGTGAGTAACGCTCAATGGAAGAAAATCTGCAACAGCGCAGATCCATAAAGAAACTTAGAGGAATTCACTTAGTTCTGATTAAAACACAAGAAAAAATAAATATCTAGCTTGAGCAGAAATTAACTAAAGAGAATATTATTTACTGCTCTAATTAATTAAGTAGCTAGATATAGAGATGGACATGAAGAACTACAAAAAACAAAATAAGAAGCAAACCGTAAATCACTGTGTGAACAAATATGGAGGCAATACTAGTCTTCATGTTCATGAAATCAAGAGGCCTCTCCTTCCCTGGAATTTGAATCACCCATCCTGGTGATAAAAATGCGAACAGCGCCGCCGCTATGAGCGGAGCAGCCCAATCATTCATTCTCGAGTGCTTCACTTCTTGATCTTCAACTTAATGTCAACTTGTAAAATAAGGAGGAGAAGAACAAAAAAGAAAGAAAAGAGATATGCAATTCCTGTATTTGGAGGGAATAGGATTCCAGTAAAGCTATAAAGCATCAAACATATATTCTTATCAACCACTTACTTTAAATATACCTCTTTAGAGCTGCTTTGTGCTGGATAAGGAAGAAGAGGTTCACTTTTTTCTACTACAGAGGCCATGATTGGCAAGGATCATAAAAGCAGAGGATTGCTTGGTGGAAGGCACTGTCACTGTTCATTATTATTGATTTTTTGGTAGTTTAATATCAATTTTTTTAATTCTATTATTCCCATAAACTCTTCCAGAAAAGCTCCACTACAGAAACTAGACTTCCAGTCAACAATGGATTGAGATATCATAGGCCCATGCTAATTTAATTTATTTTTTCTAAAAAAAAAATTATGAGCGAAATTGTTTATATAATAATATTATTAAGTGCATAATAAGAATAATCATTTTTTTTTTCAATTTAGACATTAGTTGAGTTAACATTAATTTTAATATTAATAATAACTTTAAATAATTTTTAGTTTTTTTAATAATTAACTAAATAATTAATAATATCATTAATATTATTTTAAAATAATAAAAATTTTCAGTTTATTTTTTTAATTTAATAATATTAAGTATTCTTAATTTTTCAGTAATTAAATAAATAATTAATAATATTAATAAATATTATTTTAAATAATAAAACTTTTTAGATATAAAAATTTTCAGTTATTTTTTTAATTTATATATTAAGTATTCTTAATTTTCAGATAATTAAATAAATAATTAATAATATTAATAAATATATTTTTAAATTAATAAAACTTTTTTAGTTTTTCGTTATTCTACTAATATTAAATGTTCTTTCCAAGTTTCTAATATTATTTTAAATAATAAAACTTTTTAGTTTTTTCGTAATTTACTAATATTAAATGTTCTTCAAATGTTTTTAATAATTCATATTATTTTTAATGTTATTTTAAATAATAAAATTTTCTATTTTTCTATTGATTAGTAAAATAATACCATTTTAATAATATTTTTTGTTAAATAAAAATTTTTAAAATTATTTCTCATACTAATAGAATGTGTAAAGTGAATATTAATATAATTAAATTAAAGTGAACATTAATAGAATTGAGTTAGTAAAGCAAAACTATTTCTTATATTATTTTTTAGTTTGATATTAATATTAAATTGAAATTTTTTTTTCTGTAATTAGCAGAAGAAGTAATTTTGATGGTGTTGAGTTGAACGCAACATTGTATGATTGCCTTGTCCCACATTCCCTTGAAAACGGCGTTTGCGTTTATCATGGCTTTTGATAGTCCATTACATTTGGATTATTAGCCTTCTTCTCGAATACCTGAAACTATTTGGGCCCCGATCTGGATATGGCTTACATTGCTGTCCGCCACTGACACTGAGGCGAGCTTCGAGATTGACCTTTTTTTCCCCCACAAAAGAAGAAAGCAAAACACTAAAAACATGGAAGCGAAAATAAATGATTTTATCTTTTTTCATTGTTATTTTATCTCTATATTTTATTATAATTAATTATTTTATTTTTTATATTCAAAAATAATGATTTTATCTTTTTTTTTATTAAAAATAAAAATAATTATTATTTTATAATTATATTTTGTCAAAATTAACTAGTACAGACATTTTGAGAATTTTTTAGTAATTTCGGCAATAAAGAAAGAACTGGCTATATTATGTTGTTGACAATATTTTTGCCATTGGGCGTTCTAGTGAATAAAAAAAAACTTATAATCCTAATTTAATGCACCGACATTACAATGCCTAGGGCAAAAAATGCCCACTCAGTGTCCTTATTTTTTATTTATTTATTCATTTTACTTTCAGTTAAACTTTCTGGTGCGATACGACCGCCAATTCCAGTTTCCATATCCCAAGTCAAAGTGTCATTCTCACCTGCAAGATCCCTTCACTCCCATCCTTTTCACCATAGCCTTATCTTTAAGCTATCTAACCATTCTTTCTTTAGCTAACTTACTTGAACAATTACACAAACGAGCATCTTTTCTTTCGATTTCGATCTACAATGGCCGATTGGGGGCCTGTATTAATAGGAGTGGTGCTGTTTGTGCTTTTAACGCCAGGCCTTCTTTTTCAGATACCGGGAAACAGCCGGCAACTGGAATTTGGAAGTATGAAGACTAACGGCAAGGCAATAGCTGTTCACACTCTTATATTTTTCGCTCTCTATGCTATTCTGATCTTGGCCGTTCGTGTCCACATCTATACTGGATGAATCTGGTAAGTTCTTGACCGCCTTTGGCTTTGCATTGGATAATCAATCAAGATTCAAGATCTGTGTTGTCCTGTGCTTTTCTTATTTTAGTTTTGGCTAGAAATTAAAGAGATGGGCTCGTGTTGTAATCGATTATGTTGTTGTTGGCTGCTTATTTGATCAGTAAAAGAAGAAATTAATATATCTTTGGGAAAGCAGATCAGTTTAATTTTTATTTGACACGTTGCTTTTGGATTACGTTTTTGTGGTGGTGATGGTGGTGGCGTGGGTGGCCGCCGACGTGTGATCCACCCATTTTTTGTTGCGGCCCCACCACCAAAGTTTTGCTTTTACATGTAATTCGTGATCTTAAATTTTAAATCTTAACAGTACATTCCTTTTAAAATTTTCAATTTATTAAAAAAAATTAATCCATTACCAAATTTCACCAAAAGACTGGCTGATGGTTCAGACTTCAGATTGTACTACTCTTATGAGTTATGGTTTCTATCACACAGTATAAAAACTCAGAAGGTTTCTAATTTCTAAACCTGCAGAATAATTTTACACTGCCATGTAAATATAAAGAAAATAGTGTTTAAGGTTATCATGTTAATGAACTAAATAGACTGAAAAAGAAAGGAACTTTCCTCTTAGAATAAGAGCATATTTCTCTCTGCTTTTGGGAGCCACCATACAAGAAACCCATGTATGTGTTAAAAAAAAAGGGAAGAAAATACAAAAAGGAACCTAAGGCATTTACTGTGTGAAATCAATTGACATGTATATGAATACCAATAGCAACAATCAAAATAGTAATAATGCAAAAATAAATTACAGCATGAATGAGAATGGCAATTCCACTTGTATTCATGTTGCCAAACTCTATCACCCTTGTCCTTGCTGGTAGCTGGAATAATAGCCCTGGTGATAGCAGAATAAACAGAGCAACTGCTATAATAACTGGTCCCCAATCAGCACCCATCTCTCTCTTTCTCACAGGCAAAAGCACAAAGACTTGGTGGATGTATGGAGTCTCTTTAAGAATAGGTGATAGAAGGTAATGATGTTGCAATGAAATATGTAGGAGAGCTCTTAAAACTAATGGGTTTCATTTTCTTGGTGATTAAGGAGATGGGGATGCGAAACTTGGTAAAAAAGACGAGGGTAGGATTGAAAGAGAGGAAAGGTATGTGTTTGTAGTGGGTTTCCTTTATGGGGATGGAAAGAAAGGAGCAAGCAACTTTTATTCACTAACTTCTAATAGTTGTTCACTTGAATGCTTCTTTTTGCTGGCTTTAGAGATTGATGGGAGCTTTCATTAAAGAAAATCATAAACAAAAGAAATAAAAAGGGCCTGTCTATCTGTGGATGTGTAAAGCTCCTCTTGACTCTTAGCTGTAAATACAAACAAATAATAGGAACGATGAATTTATATTGAAAAGAAGATATAAATTAAATGAGAGTTATATATAAGAATTCTACGTCAAATAAGAGTTATTTACAAAAGTTATAAATTATTATATATTCATATTTATTCATCCCTTTCATTTTTTTTTTTTAATTCATTGGCGACTTTTACGAGCCGAAATTATGAATAGCCCTCCTCTTTACTCACAAAATTGGTGAATTGTGGTCGAGAATACTTAAATTTGAGATCTTCCACTCTTCGAGAAGACTAATTAGACCATCACCTAATTGGATTATTCACCCTTTTCATTAATTGTATTAATTTGACCAAAATTTATATTTTTTTGATATTATCAAATGTGGGGTTTTTTTTTTGTCCTTTTTCATGATATTAAGGGAAATTTCTTATGGTATTAGTTATTTTGTAAGAAAAATAATATTGTAAATTTTTTTTTATGGCCAAAAATACCTATTACCTATAATGGGCAATGAAGATGATCCTCAACATCCTTGAATCTTTAAGCTTATTGAGCCAACATAGAGATAGAGGCCCAATAAGGATCCAGTGGACAGAGAGAGAGATATGTTAATTTCGTCCTAATATCCCTCGATAAATTTAGGCCTTGCTCCTTCCCGATTCCCAACTGAGTTTGCTCCGGTTTTTGAATATATATATTTATATATATTAAATTTTTTAAGGAAATATATATTTTTTTATTTTATTTATACTTGATTTTTTTTTGAGAATATTTATACTACGAATTTATGTTGCTAAAATATTGTTTTTTTTAATTATTATAAAATAATATTGAAATTTATGATACATATGCAGACTTACTATAAAATTTATGAAATATATATATATAAAAGCATATTTTATTTCTTATTATCATATCAAGTATGTAATAAGAAATAAAATATGCCATTGTTTTCCTGCCCACCTAATTCGAGTTAGAATCGGCTTGTACCCAACCCTAAAAAAACATATATAGATGGAAAAATATATATGGTAGGTTTCATTTATTTCTAAAAAGTGATTTGTCTAGAAAATATTTTTCAGATTTTTCGATGTTTGGAGTGCTCAAGAAAATTAGTTAATTGAAAATATTTTTTTGATAAAAAGGAATATTAAGATAGGAAATATTTTCACAATATTAAGTCATTTTAAAGGAAAAATAACTTACTATTTTCAAGATAGGAAATATTTTTCAGATATTAAAATACTTATTATAATCGTATCAAGATATATCTATTAATTTATTGATTATTGATAGTCGTCACTATGGTCACCGATTACCATTAGTTACCGCTATGGGCCACCGGCCATTATTCACCACCAATCGCCGTTAGTCATTGGCTACCGTCGGACACTACCACTAATCATCCGCAACTATCACAACTTATCATTTTTTTCCTCATATTCAATAAAATTTTTAACATACAAAATTTATAATTTTAAATATTTTTGTAGACTTATAAATTTAAAATTTTAATAATTTTAATATTACAACTAAAAGTAGAAAATGAGTTATTTGAATTTTTTTTTGGAGAATATATTTGAAAAAAAAAATTTCAAAAATAAGCCTAGACTCCTATTTTATTGTTTTTAAATATATGGAGTAGACATTGTCAATAATTTAGGTGTTCAAATCAAGAGCATAAAATCTCAAAAAAACTAAGAAAAGAAAAAATGCTCATACATACAAGTACAGGAGCAACAGCCATCCAAAGAAACGAAAAATGCCGTCCTGTGAAGACGTTGCTATCAAAGAACCGTTGATTCCAATGCCATTTTGGGGGAAATAGATACTGACCTTTAAACATTTTCTTGATTTTATTGTTCTTTAAAGAGTTCCCGTCTTTTCTTTATCTCCCATAACCATACCATCATTTTCTACTGTGTGCAAATAGTAATTATTTGAAGAAGAAGCTACATTAATGGCGGATTGGGGACCAGTGGTAATAGCTGTGGTTCTGTTTGTGGTTCTGTCACCAGGAGTTTTATTCCAGTTACCAGGAAAGAGCAGAGTGGTGGAATTCGTCAACATGCAAACTAGTGGCGTCTCTGTACTTGTCCATACCATAATCTTTTTTGGTCTCATCACCATTTTCCTTATCGCCATTGGTGTACACATTACTACTGGATAAGTATCAATATTAATATTCATTTCTTTCCAGTCGCTTCTTTTCTTTTATATATAGAGACTTCAATTTTGTCGCTAGCCGCTGCCCACTGCATGTACTTCAAGTCCACGGTCTGATTACAGGCTACAGTAATTTTGGTATTTTTTTTTTTTTAACGGGCAGAAATAGAATTTTGTTATTAAGGTGTGTAAGGGGAGGAACGGAAGCTGAGACCTTTTGATCTCCTGGCCTCCAGCTTTAGCATTGTGGAATTACATCTTTTTCCTAAATATTTTGATAATTTGATAATTTACATGTTCTTTTTCATAATATTGATTTGGAAAACTTTAGTCTTATTTTGGATATGATACGATTTTGATGGTATAAAAACTAGCTTCATTGGTTTGATTAGAAAACCCTTCCGTTCATCCAAATAAAATGAAAGTTATTTTATTTTATTTTCTTTCCTATATTACTTTCCAAACAGAATTAATTGATTAAATATTTTTTTTCCCTTCCATTTCTTTTACCTTCTCCTTTGAGAACCTTTTTAGGCAATATTAGCTGTTTTAATAGCAGTTAACGATTAGATATTAGCTGTTAGCTGTTATATAGCTGTTTAAAGTAAAAATTCTAATTCAAGAAATGGATATTCCACCATCCAAAATTCCAAATTAAAAGTCATTATCAGAAATAATTCTATCTGCTAATTAACAATGTGTAATATCAATTTAATTTCATATGTTGTAAAACAGAATACTGGGTAAAGATTAATTAAATGAACTAAGCTAAAATTAATATTTCCACCTTTCACAACTTCATCAAGTAATATTACAAAACGCATTAATCAAAACACACTTAACTAGCTGTTTCTGTTAAAATTACCTTAAAAAAATTATTCGTCGTCCATGCTAGAAGTATAGAATATGGATAAATTTAGCTTAGCTGCGTTAATTATTTTGATAATTAATTTACTTCTTATCATCATATTTGATTCGCTCGGAGTTGCTTCTTTCAAGCTTGAAACGTTCTTGAACAGAAGAAATATAGGTAGCAGCTTTGATATCTACACCTTCATCTCCGGCGACCCCATATAGCTTATCAAACTGGGATAAGTATTTATCCCGGTTGCTGTCAGCTGTTGGCACGATAAAGGAGACCTTCTGCTTCGGCGGGGTAATAATATAGTCCTGATGGACGACAAAACCTACTGAAGCAGCTGAAGGAGAAGACTGGCTAGGTTTTACCTTGCTACTATACTGTACAGTTGAAGTAGCCTTCGAAGATCTGTAGAATGGAATCAACTTGCCCTTCATGAACCCTCTGCGCTTGCGATTCGACTCCATTATATTTTTGCTAACCTGATAAAGCTTTTAAGTTCAGAAATGGTGATTGCTTAAGTGGAGGAGAAGGGTCTATTTATAAGAACTTGTTTGAGGTTTTAATTTACTTTCTGGTATTGGAAGAGTTTTTTATTATAGATAGACATGAAAATTCTGGATTCTGATGGTGAGCTTGTGGTCCTGCAATTGGTAAATATCTTTAAAGCATAATCTTCCTAATTGTTTTAAATCTTCCTCATTAGTTATGGGTTAGATATAGATTCTGATATATAAATAATTATATAGTTAGTAATGCTTTTTAAGATATGGAAACAGAAAAGAAATTCTTTAATTCTTTATTTATGCTTTCAGAAATGTGAAAATTATGTGTGTCTTTATTTAATTATTAATGTTAAGAAACTTCCATATTTTATATAATACCTATTCTAACTTTGTTAAAGGAAATTTTTGTCCAGGAAACAAAAGTACGGACTTACCAGTTAGGCAGCACAAGGATAAACAAAAGTCCCCTAACTTCGATATTTATAGATAAAGCAAATACTTGTTGAATTATCTCTTAATGAGCTAACTCAAGAACCAGACGTTAATAATAATAATAATCATAATAATATAATTTCAAAGTGCTCTTAGCAGAACTAAGCGACCTAACGTAAGCATTTATAATTTAATTCATCCAAACAAATTTAAACATATATAAAAAAAAGATAAAACACAATCAGGTTTAATAATAATTTTCTGAATTCGAGTATTAACTCCATTCTCATGGATTACATCCTGGCATTAAAAAAATCTATATTCCAAAGTACTCCATGGTGCCAAAATTCTCATACCATTAACCTAAAAATAGTATCTTGAATATTTTACAAATGATATTGATAATATCTTCAAAAGAAATCTAATAATTGGATTTAAAAATTTATATTTATCAATGAGTATTGATTCCGTTCTATCATAATTCTGAAGTATCAGATGTAAACTTAATGGAATCAAACTAATGATAGAAAAAAAAATATATTTAATTTTAATCACTATGAATCCAGAAGGAGGTTCCAAGGAGAGCATAGTTATGGGGTTAAAAAATAATTTTAATTAATTATTGAGGATAAAACTAAAATATATTTTTTTTCCAAAAATTTTTTATATTAATTTTTTTTTTTTTGGGGGGCGCCATAGCCCCTTGTCCTTTGCCTGCGTCCGCCCCTGAAAGAGAGCTTAAAATTTTCATTGCTCTCTCACTTAAGGACTGTATATCCACTTGATCAGAAAGACGCACGTATGGTAACACAATTCAACGATATTTTAGATTTGGATAATAACATATCTTTTCTTTTTCCTTTTTTGTCCAATATTTTTCCTTAAGGATAAGGTGGTAAGAATATAAAATGCATCCAATTGAAGTTTTGTTTTTTAATAAAATGGAAATTCCATTTATAAATAAAAATTACATTTTCATACACAAGTTATAACAATAAATTATAAACTATTAAAATATTAAATATATTTGAATAATGTTTTCTATTCTTATCATCGATACAATAAAGTATTTGAATTAATAAATTTATCTGACACAATAAATAATTAAATCGATAAATGAGCGATGAGAAAGATGCTCCATTCTGTATTATTTAAAACTAAAAATTAATTTTTTTTTCATCGTAATGCAAGCTTAGTAGCCTGAATAATAAATTATACACCACTAAAAAACTCCAAAGCTTGAAAGCACATCCAAATTTCATAATGCTAAAAAAAGCAAATAAAAATCTAATAAAATTAAACTGAAAACATAACCAAATTTGAAATTAAAAACAAGAAATTAAAGGCAAAAGAAGAACGAACCACCCACCCACGACCGCAAAGAGCAGCCAGAGCCAGTGGCAGTAGTGGGCAAAAGAAAAAAAATTAGGGATAAAACATAAAACTTATTACGTGCTTAGTTTATGCTTAGGGCATATTCCAACAACATGACTGCACAATGGTTCGTTCTTTTTTCTTTTTAAACCTTTCATTTTCTAATTAATTTTCATTATTTATTTATCTATTTTCCTAACTTGTAGTGGAGAATAAAATTGAACTTTTGCTACGTACAAGCATTGGACAGATAAGAACAGTGTCGTTTTCATCACTTTCCCCTTTCCCATTCAGACAATTAATTTAGGACTTATTTGACTATAATTAAGAAAATATTAAGATTATACATTACAATATTATATTCTTTAACAACAATCTAATAAGTTAATTCATTTGAAACCATAAAATATTTATTTTTCTATATTAATCATTCGGTATTCAAAGTTTAATGATTCCGCTAATTCGAATTTACGTTAAGGGAGGGAGAGAGAATCGACACGATCTCATCTCTCCTAGAAGTATTTAACAAAATATTTATTTGTCTTATAACTTGAAGAACACATTCAGGAGCTAAGGTATTTCATTCTTTTTGCAGGGACATATACCAAATCATCAACTTGGAACGATCCAAGAAAATATGTAATTAATATTGTATATTTATAAATATTTTTTTACTAATTAATTTCACCAAACTAATTAAGATTTTGCATACGTATAACTCAATAGTGCATACTTCTTTTTTGACCAGATGAATGGTATAAATAATGCCAAGGAGTTCAAATGACGTGAGCATATATCATATATATACGTGGCTTTGTAGATTATATACTTTTTGTGTGATGAATTTAGGAACGGTTAAGGATACTGTAGAGAACAATATGTACAATGCAGTTGTGCAAGTTGGGTTGGTTTGCTTTCTTCGAACATGCACTAGACAGTGATGAAAGTTGAACTTTTTTGTTGAATAGTCATGGAATATTTAAATTTCATTACTTCAGTTATATTAATCTAGACCATTTTTAGAAAAATACAAGTTTGTTCTAAAAATCGACAAATCAATTTCTTTTAAAACGACAAACAAAAAGGGAGGGAGTAATAAATCAACTACTGAAAATGCGAGATCTGGTCTGAGCTGGAGAATATTTTTGGGGACCAAAAAGTGCATTTGCTTTTTATCTGAAACTATATTGGTGGATTCAGGATTAGAGATAGAACAGTATTCCACGTTGTGCATGAAGGAAAAGTGGAACAAAAGATGGGTTAGGGATATTTTTCTCTTGCAACAATTTCCTTCTTCTCCTTCAAAAGATGGATCAGTATCTGAAAATCAATTCCTTCTTCTCTTGCAACAGATGGATTAGGGATTCGATTCTTTCTCCCACAAAAGAAGCAAAATATCCAAAAGTGAGTGAGAAGACTGAAGAGGACATCGTAAAATAAAATTTGCAGGTTTATTTTATATTTATATTTAAAAGTTAAATAATTATTGAGTGAAGAGAATATTTTTCTTCTGCACTGCTTAATAATCAAACACGAATTGTCGTTTTCAATGTGTCTCCTTATCTTTTTGTTGTTTCCTTATCCTTCTACTGAGATAACGCAAGTGTTGTGACAGTGTGAAGTGAATTATTAAAATATAAAATTAAATATTAAACAATTAAGAATTGTTAAATAGCCATGGGCTCCGAGCAGTGGACCAAACTAATTAAGGTAAGATATTTTGGGCTACAGACAATAAACTGGGCCTTATTAAGTAATTATAAATGAGGCCCAATATCAAGAATCCAACGAGGCCCATATCTACTCAGCTTTCCTAGCTTGCGTAGTTAAGAAGGAAACAAAACTTTGTTTTGCATATATGACAACCATACAGCAATCAATCATCATGTGAAACATTCACAAAAATTTTATGATTGATTGATTTAGGGAAATCCAATTGATTTTGAAGTTTTTGACATAAAAGTCAATTGTGCGCTAATGACTTTGACTTTTTTATCCCCTAGCCGCGATTTTGCTTGTCAATTATGCGATTACCAAACATCAACCAGCACAAGAAAACAAAGTAATGGAGATTCTCTCCTTTTCCTCTTTGGTCTTTATATCTTCCCTTGGTGGACAATATTTATAAATTAGGTATTTCATCCATAAAAATATATTTATATTTAAAGAAAATGACAATTACGAGTCTTAAAATAAGATTAATTTTATATCTAAAAAAGATAACAAAATACTCGTCAAAAATAAAAAAATGAGAAATAAAAAATCAATTCTCGACGCGAAAAGCTGTTTATTTTATCGTATTTCTATATATTATTTTTCACATTTTCCCATTTATACAGCTGTTTGATATTATATATAAATGTCATCTTTTTTAGCAAATTTAATGAAGGTTTTGTCAACATAATCATGACTAAACCAGGTGGAATTTGTAAAAACTAGCAGGTAAAAAATAGACCTCGAGGCTATATAAAGGCAGAGCTGGATTGAATTGGACGGCACCAAGTGGTTGGGGCTTAAGCCAATCCCATCAGTTGTCATGGAATTAACCATTGACAGCAAATAATGGGGGAGGAAAAAATTTCAGACTACATTTTTGGGTTTATTGACACAAAATGGTCCATCGATTGTGGTCTATTTACGGTTCATGTTTGAAACTTCCAAGTTTGATTAGAGGTTTAGTTTTTGGTGCAGACGTGCAACCAAACCAAACACATTTTGGAAACATTACGACAAACTCTATTTTATGTTCTAGAAATTTTAATTTCTTTATTGGGTTTATATTTAATATGAAAATTATTTGAATATATATTTATTATCGAGTCATTCATACATTTATTATTAGATTGAACTATATTTAGGGTCGCAAAATCAGCCTCTTAAGATTAATTCAACACAAAGTTTTTTTTTTATGTATAATATAATAGAACATTTTAATTAATTAGACAGGAAATAAGATTTAAATTTAAAGTTGATTAGATTAGGAAAATGGAGGTAAAATACAGTGTGGTCTTAATCAATAATTAACTGGTATTATGCAAATATAATTGAGGCATGCTGCTGACAATTAGCGCCAAAGAAAAGACTGAAAAGGAAAGGGACTGCCTGCCTTGTCATCGATTGTTAGACTTAGAGGAGAGCTCAATTCCATTTTTGCCAAGCATTGGTCAAGCTGTGAACGAATATTCCTTTCTCGCTTGGCCGCCCAGCACGTGCGACTGCGAACAAACATATCCTAACTGCATGCGTCACTCTAGCGGTCTAGCTATTGCGAGGGTTGGAAGTTGGCGTTACGTTTACCCGTCAACTTTCAACTATCCATATATCAACCTGTTAGAATTTTCATAATACACGTTTAATCTAAATTCATTTGTCTCAATAGCTGTCTATTAATAATTTTACTGTCTTTACCCCAAACTCATTTAAAATATCTTTTACATAGATAAGATAGTACTCATTCATTTTAAAATATTCAATTGGAATCCATTTGAAATACTCTTTTTACTGGAAATGGTAATATTTTTAAATCTGTTTGGTGTACCAATTACTGGGTAACAGGTAATTATTTTATTACTTATATTCATCCCAAATCTATTTATAATTACTAGAACTTACAATAAATGGATTGGAGCATATGAGTACTTGAAAATACTTGCCCTATTTTCGTTCCTAATAGTATAGCATGCCAAATTCAAAATTGACTGATATAAAATTTTATAAAATTAATTTAGATAATTCTAACTATATATAAAATTGAAGTTCTGGAAACTAAGATGAAAATCTCAGTTTACACCAAAAATGTGAAAAATATTTAAAGTTTTACAAAGTTTTATGTAACTCGTTTATATAATCATACTCAACAAAGACATTAAAAAAAAAAAAATCCAATTCCACCATATGAAGCTGAATTTACATTATACAAAGCCAACCATATAAAAGGAGGAGGCAGAAAAGGAGAAAAAAAAAAAGAAAAGAAAGAACTGAAAGGAAATTAACTTACAATGTCCAAATTAGAGGGAAAAAAAAAGGAAAAACAAACCTAGTAAGAACTTAATCAAAAGTATGCACTTGTCCTGTCGTTACTAGTAATAACAACCTTGATTATTGCAATATATATATCCAAGTCTCAGAATCTATATATATCTCCATTAATACAAAAGTGTACCGTATAATTTTGAAGATCACTTTCAAACTTCAATAGGGAGTGTAAATTTGCATCTGATTTAAAATGTGTTCGAAGTTATCAGTTGGCTTCTCTATTGGATGAGTGTGCATCCCTTCATATGTAGTTACTACAATTCCCTCGTCTTTTGTTAGGCGTTGGACTTGCTTCTTCACATTACATCCTTGATATGTGCACCTATAGTAGCTCCTGCAAATCACAACCAAAAATAATTAAACTTTGCATATTATATGTTAAATGAATGTAATACCAGTCATTATGAAGTGCAAAACAATTCTTCTTAATTTTTATTTACACTTAAATAAACTAGGGTATTTGATCTATTACAATCGATGTAGTTGAATAATTGTTAACTCTAATGTTTTGGTATAGAAACTCTTGCGTGAAAGGTATGATCTGCTTAGGCCTTTATCGTCTATTCAAGATGACGCGACATCGGTACTTATACCATCTACTGCTTTGGCTATAGGGACGACTCTGATCTTTACGTTACGAGGGAGAATCATGACCCAATTAGTATTTGGAAAAGAGTACGGCAGTTTTTTCTATGTTGAGAATGAGACTCTGTAATGATATTTATTTGTAACACTTGCTAAGTATTTTTCTATTTATTCTTTATATGTATGTATTTTCAAAATATTGGAGGAGCTTGTGTACTAGAAATGGAGTGACATCCATATTTTTGTAGCAAAACTCATTGCAACGTTAACACAAGGAATAATGAATAGGATGTAAATGAAAGTCCTACGCAAGATTGATTGAAACTAAACTAACTAGATAGTTGAGTACAGAATCTTTAAAACTCTTATGTATATGTGCATGATCCACTTAATTATGTGTGAATGATAAGCGTTTTATTATCCACATGGGTCTTTCTTTTTTCTCCCCCACCCTCCCCCGCTCCCCGGCTGGCGGTTACGATAGGGAAGAGTAGCCAAGCTACAACAAAATATCCGTACAGAGATCAAAGATCAACCCACAAAACAATAATGCAGAAAAGCTACATATATTCAAATCTATAGTCATATATCAAGAAAATTACAAAGTGTTGGGTTTCATCACGTGTGAGACAAAAAGCTGTAATACCTTCATGCATGGATTTTATTACTTATTTAGAATTGGTAAGTAAAAAGAAAAGAAGAAGCAAAAGAATGGATAGGAGAAATAAGAAACCCTAAACCAACATCTAATTGTATTTGGAAGTAATTATTCAAGACACGAGCTTAAGTTTTGCCGAATCGGTGAACTGCCTGAAAATATGTGATAATTATATAGAACGAAAAAGCAAAATCATATTTGAAATATCCACAACCCTAGCTTGTATGAAAGGGAAGAGAGTTTCAAACCTAGTAAGTTACTGCTCCTAGTGGTAGATCTAGCAGAATCTCGCTTTCGCGGCCAAGCCGCCCAAAGGAAAATGATGAGGCTTATGGTATTATCAGTGGGGTCTAGTGATGATCACTGATCACTGTACTTATATAATTGCATATACATACATACACATATATAAACATATATATAATACATAAACAGAAATGGGACTGAAATTAATTATGAATACAAACCTTGGAAATTTGTTGTTTTTGACAGCTTTTTGGCCATATTTCCTCCATCGATAACCATCATCTAATATATCAACTTGACTTCTTGTTTGAAAAGCATATCTTGGCTTTCTAATCTTCTTTTCTCCTCTCTTTTTGCCTCCACCTGATGCTTTTAGCTCATGCTGATTATTTTCAGGCCCAATTGCAATGCTCGCTGCACTTTGATTAATTGAATTAATTAGGTCTCCCTTATTATGATCAACTCCATTATTTTCTAGCTTCAACCCCAAAAACCCATTTGTGCCATCATTGAAAAAGTTGTTAAAAACATTAGAATTTGACGACACAGAATAGTTGGATGATGGCCCTGGCGATGAAAATGGAAACAATGTTTGGAACTTTTCCATGGAAATTAACAAAAAGTAACAAGAAAGAAGAAGAAGAAGGGGAAGGTCTAAGAAGGGTAGAGAGTCTAATATAAATGGGATATTTTCTTTTTTATTTTACAAAAAAAAAATGAAAATCCTACAAGTGTCCAAAAAATCACCTCTGGTTCGTGTGGAAAGCAAAAGAAGAGAGAAAAATCCAAAGACATATATATAGTGTTTAAAAGGTGTCGTGCACGAAAATTCTTTCAAGAAAATTTATAAATTAAGCTTCATTAGCGGATTGATTAGCAAACAAAAAGTGGGCGGAAAATGCAGGCGGCTTCATCATTATGAATAACACATTTTCTTCCTTTTGTCTTTAATGTTAAATAAAATTAAATTTTAGTATTAATTGACTAAATTAATAAATTATATATATTAAATTGATTTAACTTAACAAAAATTTAATTTTATTAAATGACGCAAAATTGGAGTATAATTATATTATTTTCTAAACTTAATTTTGCTTGAAATTTAAATTTATAAGTGAAAAATTAAAATCTAATAGTAAATAATTTTTCTTTCTATCGGTCTCTGAGTTTTCCAAAATATACAAATTTATTACTACAAAGTTGATTTGTGATAACATTTATTTTAAAATAAAAATAAAAATAGTTTGTGATTTGATATTTTAGATAACATGGATTTAATTTTGTCATTCAAGTTAGCACCAAGCTTAGACTAGTAGCAGTAGTTGCCATTGGACTGAATATGATATGTCACCCGTGTAGAATTTTTTATAGACTGAATATGATATTTATTCCTTTTTATGTTATTATTAGGCTAATTGCATATATATATATATATTTTTTTTTTTTTTCACACTTGATTATAAAATTATTGATACTTCAATCACTTAATTTAAAAGTTGATACCCTAAATTTGCAATTAACCTTATTATTACAATTTAACATGTGGTGGGTGCAAAAATTTTCCCATAGTGCAGTCTGCGTATGCCTGGTCCCCTCAGTTTCCATGAAGCTGCTTAATTTCCCTCGTGGTTCATGCATGTGCCCCATTTCTTTTTTCCATCATTTATTCTACGTACAACCACAAAAAAGTAATTAATAATTAACCTGAGGAAATTAATTAAACCTACCAAATTCCTATTTTTCATAATTAAATTGCATTACTATTGAAATCTAAATTATTGATGGATAAATATTTTTTTTTAAGAAAAAAAAGGAACTACTAAGTGTGTTGGTCACTAACTCGTCAACTTGGGCCACCAATCAGGTGTTGACCTTCGGATTTAAGACACCCTGCAAGGCACACTGAGAAATGATGCCTCCTTCCTCTAGATCGCAGCATTGTGATCCTCAACCCAAGATGATAGAGTCCAAAATACTGTCGTAGAGAATCGATCTTGGATTAATCACACGAATGATCAATATTTTTACCATCAAAGCACCGCCTTGGGTGATGATAAATTTTAATAATATATAAAATTGTTGATTAATATTGACTGTAAAACAAGAATCTTTATTGAATTTTATTAGCTAATATTAAAAATACCAATATTTTCAACATTTGAATCTCTAATGCATGGTTAATAAGTTAGGGCAAGGAATGGTGAATTTCTGATGTGTATTGGTGCTCTTTTTCCTAGTATTATTTTCCTTTTTGAATCACATTGATGCGGCATCTCCTTTGTGTGCGTAAGAGTCTTGTCTCATATCACGAAGGAGACTCGTGATAAGACAGCATCAAATCTTCTTTTATAAGTAATTTCTACTAAAAATTATGGATCGATTATTATTCAAAATATAAGACTTTGGACAAATTTCGTTTTCTTGAACTAACTTTTAAAGAGTAAATTAAATCTAATTTATTTTATAATAATCTATGATTCAATTATAAATAGAATGTAAATTGGATACGATGTCATCATTTTAGGTTTTGATATTGTCGGATTATTTGCCAGAAATACTTTTAAAAGAAATTACAAATGTTTGAGTGGAATGGGATTAGGGGTGGCCACGGTTCCGGAATCGCCGGTTTCGGTTCCGGAACTGACGATTTCGGTTTCAAAAAATTTGGAATCGAAATCGAACCGAAAATTAATGGTTTTAGTTATGGTTTAAAATCAAACAGTTCTAGTTTCGGTTTCGGTTCCTCAATGGTTCCAAAATCGACGGTTCTGGCCGATTCTTCGGCTGATTTTTTGACGGTTCTGGCTGATTTCAGACCAGTTCTGGCCGATTTTGGACGGATGCGGCCAGTTTTAGATGGAACTAGAATCGTCGGTTTCGACTGGAGTTAGAACCGCCGATTCACGATTCCAAAACTTGTGGAACCGGAATTGATCCGGTTCGGACCGATTTTGGTTCCAATTCGGATCGATTCTGGTTTCGGTTCCCACCGATTCGGAATCGATAGTTCTGGTTTCGAAAACCATATTTTGGCCACCCTTAAATGGGATAAACCACTGAGATTATTAATTTTTTTGTACTTAAAAAAAATTAATAACTTAAAATTGAATTTTATACCACCAGGAAAATAAATTTCAAATTTTTTATTAAATTACTATTTAATACATCTAATTTGTTGAAATTACTATTTAAGACATCACATGACTTGCTCCTGTTTGGATTAATAAGTCCTTTCATCTAAAGTTTATACTTTTGCCATTAATTTTAAATGAAAAGACCAAATACCTTTTATTATATATTCTATTGAACTACTTTAAAGTTTATACTTTTGCCATTAATTTTAAATGAAAAGACCAAATACCTTTTATTATATATTCTATTGAACTACTTTAAAGTTTATACTTTTGCCATTAATTTTAAATGAAAAGACCAAATACCTTTTATTATATATTCTATTGAACTACTTTAAAGTTTATACTTTTGCCATTAATTTTAACCTTTTATTATATATTCTATTGAACTACTTTAAAGTTTATACTTTTGCCATTAATTTTAAATGAAAAGACCAAATACCTTTTATTATATATTCTATTGAACTACTTTAAAGTTTATACTTTTGCCATTAATTTTAAATGAAAAGACCAAATACCTTTTATTATATATTCTATTGAACTACTTTAAAGTTTATACTTTTGCCATTAATTTTAAATAAAAAGACCAAATACCCTTTATTATATATTCTATTGAACTTCTTTAAGCAAAAATTATTCTTTTAATGGTATAAATAATTAATTCATATTGTTAAAAAATAATATGCTAAAAGCAAAAATATGTTATTCATATTATTAAAAAAATTAATTTTTGCTTTTTGCATAAAAAATATAATAAAAAAATAGAATAAAGGTTAATTTGGTCTCTTATATAGGAACTTAACAACAAAAAATATAATTTTTTTACGAAAATACTAGTTTATTCAATAATTCCAAACTACGGGAATAAAGTAATATATTTTTGAAAACATAAAAATAAGGTAGTTAATTTCATCAAACTATATAGATTAAGTAATAATTTTCTCAATTTAACTCAACTTTAATTTATATTTGCAGGTCAATTGAATTTTGCTCATTTCAGAGAGAGTATCTCTTTCCGAAAAAAAAAAAAAAAAAATAAAAAAAACTTTTGGAAAAAAAAAAAAAAAAATCAGAAATGATAATCAAAATAGGTATTAAGCTTGGTTAAAATGTCTTGATTTTTCATAATGCAAGACTAAAAGGTCATTTGGCTGCTAGGAAACTAACTTAACGATAATTCTAATTTTATTGCAAAAACATTAATGTAATGAAAGAGAATAAGCAAGAATAAGACATGAACATATTTAATTTTAGACAAAAAGGGAATCAAAACAAGAAACCTCGACAAGTAATATAAAAAAACCAATAAGAGGAGGAACGTTGAATTGTATATCCTGAATTTCTGATTCTTGAATCACCGATGGACACGTGACTTATGGACAAAAAATAAAAGTGTCACAAGAGAAAATGTGGGTTTGACGAAGAAGAGAGAAAAGCTGCCGATACGGCTCCCCCGCAGCCCTTCTTCACAATTTTGAAAAGCATTACCCTTTTTCACTTTGAACATTCGAGTTCATTTTGAAACGTCAAATACCCAAATCCCGCTTTAATTAATTAAATCTTTTATGCTACCTCTTGCCAACAACTCAAAAACTTTACCTTTTTCGGTATTGGTGCTAATTCAATTCAACTAAATACTTCTTTTTTTAAAAAATAATATATATCGTGTGTTTTCTGACTAGATTGAAATTGAATTTCTCTGTATAATTCAGACATACGATCACATCGTCACTTTAATTATGTCTTAACATATAATTTATATTTTTCAAATGTGACTTAATTGTCAAGAATGTCTCCAATCCTACATCACAATGGAGAAAATTTACAAAGCTTAATTTGTGAACTTGATACCAAGTTAGGGTTAGTTGGGACAAGAAAAAGAAAAAGAAAAAATAATATAATAAATTTAAAATCACTTTCAGTTGAATTGAGACCACATTGGTAAACTTATTAGAGCTTTGAATTCTACCAAAAGAATCTATTTTGCAAAAAAAACAAAAAAAAAAAAAAAAAAAACGCTAGAATCTATTTTTGGCAAAAAAACAAAAAAAAAAAAAAAGCATCTAGATAAAAAATTAAACAAGGAATGCGTCCTTTGTTTGCATGTATTTCCATTTCCATATATATCAAAAACAAAAAAAAAAAAAAAAAAAAAAAAAAAAAAAAAAAAAAAACAAATTTGAAAACCAACAACTTTAATCAGACAATCATTCACAATGTTGAATTATTAAATCAACGTCTCTTGTTGGAATATGTCACAATTTATGTTAGAATTTGAATATTAAACTAGTGCAAATCTCTTTTTTATTAAATTATTTCGACGCAAGGAATGATTCACATTTCACATTTTTTCTAAATTTTACGTGAAAGTCATTTCACATGGAAAAAATATATATTTTTTTTCGTAATTTTTTTATTCGAGTAAGGTAAAATGATTCCCACATTTTTGTTTTATATAACATTCACTTCAATTATGTGGTCAATGAGATAATTGTGAAAATAATTTAATTATAAAAGTCATTCAATAAAATAAAGGAAACAAATGACTGACATAGCCTCAAACAAAGAAATAAAATTCCATGTAAAAATTGTTTAGAATCAGGTGTTTGTCCTTACAAATATGTGGTTTTGGTTTTTGACTGAAAATGCATAAACAGCTCAATGTTTATGCCTGAGCTTTCCATCTTTCAAGTTAGTGTTACACAAAGTCTTTAACTATAAGCTTGTACGGAAAATTAAACTGGTCTAAGTATTTCAGATGACAAAGCCTGATAAGTTTTTAGTTTAGTCTTTTTTTTTTTTTTTTTTTTTTTAGTCTTTTTTTTTTTTTATTTTTTTTTCCTAAACTTTGGAGTTTAACACTTAACTTTGATTTGAAAAAATATTTTTTTTTTTTTTTTTTTTTTTTTCTAACTTTGAGTTAACACTTAACTTTGATTTGAAAAATACAATATTTTTAATTTTCGTCAAAAAAAAAACAATATTTAATATAAATGTTAGAAATTATATATGTAATGAGTTGCACATAAAGGGTGTCTCCAAGTGAGGAAAACCATAAATTTTTTAAAATTTTGATTAATCAAACTGATTGATTCAATTATAAAAATAAATTTTTTTTTAAGGAATAGAATATAAAGCTAATTACCCAACGGGATTAGTCCAGTTACTAATGATGACAGTTTCATTCCCTTGCATGGAGTGGGAGGTAGTACATTGAATTTTTTTAAATATATATATATAATTCATTAATAATAATATTAAAGCTCCGATTTGTTTCCATAAAATAACTTATAGAAAAATATTTTTCACAATTTTTCGTTGTTTAGGACTGTAACGACCCGTCTCCATGGACCGGATTGACACTAACACCTGAGTGGGCTTAAGGCTTCTAAGGCCCGTAATAAGCCTATATTAGTTAATCCATATTCTATTCATAATTGTGTCTTTAGGCCCAATAACTTTATTCCACAAACGAATCAAAAGTACAATTCATATATCCAATATATGTACTCTCATTATTCAATTACAATCCATTTGGAATATAATTGCGGAATTCCATAATTTACAATCTTTTACATTTACATCGTTATTACAACTATTAACAGTTTTTTATATTTAATATTTTGACTCAGTTGGATCCATAGGACTTTTTTCTCTTCCTATTACCTGAAAAAAAAAAAAAGAAAAAAAAATAGAAGATAGGGATGAGCGCCAAACTCGATGAATAGGGTTAGATAACACCCTCACCCCCCACACAATCACACATATGCTATAATAAATCAATTTAGTCCTCCGACTAGTTATATGATCAAGTAATTTGTCAAACAAATGACAATACAATAGCAATCACAATTATTACCATTTTCATATTATCACATCACATGGAAATTAGTCAGTGGCGTCATCGAAACCACCGATGAGCCGTCCTCTCACATGGCCGATCCTCTCATAACGTGTGCACCAGTGAGTCGATCCCCATACATGGCCGACCGGTCTAATACTCACTTGATCAGCCCTCTTATTGTTTTTCCATTCTCTCTTCTCCTTTCCATACCATCAGAAGGTCATCCTATGGTTTTCCATATTATCCATATCATATCATTAGATCCACACGGGGCGCCGATCTCCCATACTCGGCCGACGATCAAATTCTTTAATTTCATCATATTCAAGATCTATATTTTATAGACCGTCCTCACAAACTCATGGTAACCCACTTCATCCCAATTCCGTACAAATAAGGCACGGCAATATCAAAACACAAGTAATCAAGCAATTTTTAATCACAACAATAGTGCAGCACAATATAGCAATTCAACAAAGTAATGCATGATAACATTTAGCCGTGAATGCAAATATGCAGGCGGATGATGCGAGTTATGTAACACTACTCACTGTTTTTTATTGTCCTTTAAAGGACTATCTTTATTACGCTTCCAACTTTTGTCTTCACATTCCAAAACTTTATAAGCATCTAAAATAATAAGAAAATTCTAAATAAGAATTTTAATTCGAAAAATGTACTTCACATTCATTTATTAGTTTTGATTACTAGTTGCTTAACTAACTTATCAAACTAAAGTGTACATATATATATATATATATATATATTCACATTCATTTTTATTAGTTTTGATTATAGTTGCTTAACTAACTTATCAACTAAAGGTACATATATATAAGTATATATTCACATTCATTTATTAGTTTTGATTACTAGTTGCTTAACTAACTTATCAAACTAAAGTGTACATATATATATATATATATATATAGAGAGAGAGAGAGAGTGTTTCCTTAATTATTTATTTATTCTAATTTACAACCTTTAAATAAAACTTCTAGTTATTTGGTAAGTAATATTCCATAATAATAATAATAATAATACTAAAAGTTTTAGTCGTACTACCTATTAAGGATATTACTAATTTAATTCTTTATTAAGTATTTCGCCGAAAATTTGACAGCATTTTCTTTATAAACTGTACTATCCAATTTTACATATTCCATCTGTCAACACACAGTCCATCCATCGAGCAATTCATATTAACTGATCCCGTCCGCCATAACTATCATTCATTCGTTCACACAGCCCATTCATCGGGCACATTTTCAATCAAGCTAAATTCTCGTGATATAATTAATTGTTCTATAACTAATTACTTGTTTATACCATAAATTATAATTTTTTTCCTAAGAATTTTTATTAAAGTTCCTAAAATTAACTTTCATAATTATTAGTTAGGAATTCTTATTTCAATTTCTACCTTATATTTGTAATTAGTGTTCATGAAATATAATTAACAATATTCAATTTAATTCATTTAAATACTCAATTGAATTCATTAATTAATTAGTTCGGGATTTATACGAAAATTGCGAATTGAATCTTAAGAGCATGCCGATTGGAAATCGAACTACGATTCCGGAATCCGTGCGAAGAGGAGGTCATTCTGCCTCTTGAAGCGTCGCCGGCCAGTTATCGGATCGCCTCCGCGGTGCACGGTGGCAGGTAAAATCCAACAGCCCAGAAATGCCAACTTTTACACTGTTTTGTTTTGTTTCATGAGGTGGTCTCCGATTTCGTGTCCGTTTAACAAGGGGGTTACCCTAGAAGCCGGAAATAGCCCCGAAAGTTTGCTAACTGTCGGCCATGGCTGTGTCGCTATTCTCCACCAGAAGCTCAGTTCGAAGGAGGAGAGGCGCTCGCAGGTCAACAAGGAACCTTTCGCGCCCCCTCTCCATACGCACGGTGGTCGGAAACGGCGAGATTTCGCCTGCGATCGAAGAAACGAAGCTGTCGAAGGAGGCGGCTCCGTCTACGTCGCAGGACTCCATTCGCGTGACAGGAAGCCGGAGACTTGACCAGTGGTTCCAGGGAGGTCGATCGCCGTCTCCCTTGCGTCGGATGGTGGTCGGAAACGAGAGGAGAGGGAGGAGCGGCGCTGCGCACGCGAAGAAGAAGAGAAGAAGAAGGGAAAAAAAGAAAGTGGCGTTTCTGGAATTTCTGGGCCATTCCGGTTCGATTCGAACCGATTTGATCCAAATCACCGATTCAACTTGATTTTTATTTGGTTTACTGGGTTTTCACTTATTTTTGAAAATCAAAACTGATTTACGGATCCGATTTTGTAATAATAAAATAGTTTTTTTGTTGATTTCATTGGTTGGGTTTTACGTTTAATTTTTTAAATGAAAAATTTTTAAAAATAATTTTTCGGATCGTTTCAATGACGCTTAGGAAAATAAGTCAACAGAAAATATTTTTTTGGTGAAAGGAAAATTAAGTCATTTTTTAAGGAAAAAAACTTCTCATTTTCGAAAGAGTAAAACATTTTTCGGACGTTGACAAACCTTATAAATCTATGTTTTTTTTTTAATTTATTAATCATCGTAGTCACTACCACCAGTCACCATTTTCCACCGACCACCACCACCGGCCATCGGTGACTTTTCATAATTTACATTTTTTTTTACATTCTTTTCATATTTAACAATAAAATTTCTATTATTATTAATATTTTTTATGGTCTTATGTTATTAAAATTTCTATTATTATTAATATTTTTTATGGTCTTATGAGATAAAAATTTTAATATTTTTAACTAATTTTCAATATTACAACCAAATAATGGAAGAAAAAGTCATATGAAAAATATTTTTTAGCAAGTTATTTTACGAAAATAAATAAAATATAAAAATTATAAATACACCAAAATTTTATTGTCAGCAGCTAATATGCAGTGAGAGGTAGTACATTGAATTAGATTTTCCATATCCATATATTTTGCTAGTGTTATAGCTTTGCTACCTTAAAGGCAATTCGGCAATTCACTAATATTATGTTTGCTGAACGCTAATGGTAACTAATGTAATATAATCAAAAGCTTTTTTTTAGTGTAAATAGAAAATGATTTTAAATTTTATACAATATATTAACCATTAATTTGGATGAGAGTATTTTTTTTTAAGGAATAAAAATAATTATAGAAAATATTTAGGAAAAGGTATTTTTCCTTATTTGAAAAAATAGAGGAAAATATTGAACGAAATAATATTTCACTTTTCATTTATGTCCATATTTTTTTGAATATTCCAATTTGAAGAGAAAATAACAGAAGAAAGTTTGAATTTTACTCATTTTTATTAAATTTCTCAAATAGCATAAATTAATTAAAAAAACTTTGACCCTTTCGTAAATATCCCATTATTTAATTGATGATATAATTGTAAATTTTTAATAATAATATTTTCTTTTCTCAACAATTTTATCATTTCCAAACAAAGGAAAATCAATTAATGTTCTTCCCGTATTATATCCAAACACAATGATTAAAAATAACTATAGAAAGAAAATTGGCAATTCCTTTTTTTTTCTTCCTCTAATATTTTCCTTTCTCTCTTTTCCAAACAAAGGGTAAAATTATTTTTTATTAATTGTAGTAGAATACAGACTAATGTAATAAAAGGCATTTTATTATTTTTGTCACCTATTTTAATAGGTAACAAGTTTCCTTTAGAAATAATAAATATATTTCGATCAATAAGAAGAGTGTTAGACTGTGACGCTAAAAAGTATTGTGCCTAGCATTTCTCTTTCCATAAATTCTTAAATTAGAAGGATTAAAGAAAAATGTTTCTGGGTTGATTTTTCCTCTTCCACTTTCACTGGTCTCCAATTCCAACTAACAACTGTTTTTTGAAGTTGAACTTCCATTTCTAAAATGCAATGATATGAAAAATCAATTAACAAAAATGAACTAATTTCAATTACAAATATCTGTAAAGATTATCAGAGCTATCTTTTCATTACTTTCGAAAGAACATAGGAGGAAAACGCCAATCTGCAATCTCTGAAGAAGCTACTCCAACTGAAAAAGCCTTTGCTGTGTGAACATCTATACCAAACTAAAGAGAAAAGTACAAAGGACTACATGAAAGATCGCATCCGAGGCCTAGACAAAGATTGTGCCCCATCGACAAATATAGTTGTCCCTGTCATGTATCGGGAGCTGTCGCTGACTAAGTATATGACAGTTGATGCTACATCATTTCTAGCATCAAGCCATCTTTGGAGTGGTACTGCGTCCTTAACCAACTTCTCTGCTCTTTCTTTCCCTACTGACTTAGGAAATTCATCTTCTAAGTGCAAACCGCGGGCAATTGCGTTTACTCTGATTTTGTGTTTCCCAATTTCCATAGCAGAATGCTGAAAAACAAAAAGACAATGCTGTCAAATAGTTTCAAGAAAAAAAAAAGGAGCTAAAAGGATTATTATGTAGACAAATGACCAAAATTCCCTTTCGAGGGAAGTAATCACTTATTCATAAACATAATGAACCCTCAATCAAAAACTTTCCGTGACAAGCACAATACAGCACAGCAGTGATAGAAATGCAGAACATGTATTCTCCAGACCAGGATTGAAGTCAAGCAATTCTTGGATAGGTGAAGGTGGATATTGGTTGGTGGTTGAAGTAAAAAATCATAAACAAAAAAATCAACATGATGTTAAATTGAAATAAGCTGATGTATCAATGTGCATATCCTGCACCGTCAAAGTCAATTGCAATTACAGAGTTCCAAATTTTATGTTTCCCTTCATTATGGTTGTTAATAGCATAAAATTTCATCCAAAAGTTCCCATAAAACATTTTAAAAAAAAAACCAACGTAGTAATCTCTTCACAATAGGAACCAAGAAAGCTTGTTCAATCAAATATTTATTTGATTAATTGATTGAAGCAGACTATATGGTCTTGATCATGACAGATCACAAGCGCACAAGTAAAAATAAGAAGAAAAATGAACACATTTACTTACTCTAACTAATTGCTGGATTCCAGCTGAACATGAACCATATGCTGCAGCACCTGGATAAAGGCCTCTGTGAGCACCAATTATTGAGGTCACAAACACAATTGAACCTCCTGACTTATTATCACGCATTCTTCTTCCAACAGCCTTTAGCAAAAACCACGGAGCCATAAAGTTTATTTTCACTGTCTTTTTGAACTCTTCTTCAGCTAGTTCTAGAGGGTCTTGCATTTTTCCTGTTTCACACAATCGAAATTCATAAATTTGCTGTCTTTACTTTTACAGCACCAATCTTGTCATAAGAAAATTGATGAATGATACTGTTAACTTGAAATGTGATTGTAAGGGGAAAAAAGAGATGTGCTTAACACAAGTTGATAATTATCATCTATGAAAGAAGAACCATACAATTTACTACTACAGTATATGGCAAGAAGAAAATTATTGGTTGATGATTTCTCAAACCCAAACACTACTTAAACATGAATTTTAGCAAACAAAATTTCTAAGAAGATAAGCTAGGGATATCTAGCCTTCTTCAAACTAATAGAGAATTTCATTAATATCACCCTGCAACAAGATTATTCTACTTCTGCAAGTTCTAAATGGTGGAATGTACATGCAGCAAGGTTAAAAAAACAAAGAAGTATCTACTGTCAAATACAAAAAGCAACCACTTTAATGGCAAATTAAAAAGTAAGTTCAAGTCAAAAAGACCAAACATAAGTATTTGCATACATAATCCATTGCTAAACAAAAAAACTAATGCTCATTCCTGTTCATGTTCACCTTTCAGTTCTTTTTGAGATTTATGCAAACATTTAGAACAAAAACTTTTAACTTCTACTCATTACTCTTCGTTATCAAAAAGCAGTTGATGCAGGAGGAAGAAAAAAAACATCATGAATTTTAAATGATTATTTGAAGAAGGTGGGATATATTTTGTAAGTTTGTGCCTTTCCTTCAGAATTTAGACCTTGACTTTCACCAAATTTATAGAATTACATTTTATTTTGCATCTCCTCTCAATTTCCCTCTTTTTTCCTTACTACCTTTGACCAAACAAGTGCTGTATCCCCTTTTCCCCAAAGTTTCTTAACGAAGGAGAGTAAAGCAACCACCTTGACTATCCATCTCTTTCCCTCTAATTCCTCTATTCCCGTTTCCCCTTCAAATTCCAAACATATTAGCAAAAGGATGATAATAAAGGAAGAACCAAAAGGACGTTGAGAAATTTTTCTGCTATTAGATGTAAAGTCTAAATACTCTTTACCTTGTAAGTTCCAAACTCTAGTCAATTTTCCATGTACTAATTAAAAATCCATATTAGATTGACCTGACTATCAATTGTATCCCTCCTTTTACTTTGAAAATAAAATGTATAAACAATAAACTGTTCAGAAATAAGGAAAACAAAGATTAAAATTTATAATACCTTCGTAGACATAACAATGTACAAAAGCATCCAAATTTCCCAAAATCTTGCATGCCTTGTCTACTGCTTCATCAAAAGCCCCTTCGCGCTGCTCCTCCATATCCACTCCCACAATATCCACAGGCACTGAACTTCCAGAAGCTATCTTCTCTCTATCGCTTCTTAGAGATTTCTCATTTCCCATCAAGACTAGCCTATCATTGCCAATTAAAAATTAATTAACAAAAATTAATTATTCAACATATAAGAATTGCAAGGAAAAGAGACATAACGAATCTTTCTTTTTCTTGTTTTATAAGAAAGATGTACGAGTTTACTATTTAGCACATGCAACCAAAAAAAAAGATTGATAACCCAGAAAATTTTTGGATTCAAACTTCATTATTGTCAGTTAAATTCCTTTTCTTTTCGTTTCCTTCTCTTTCTCAGCAACCAAACAAGCGATAAGTTTAAATTAGTGACAGAGGTTAACCTGCATCCACGTTTGGCCAAATGAAGAGCTATATTCTGTGAAATCTCATCTCCATTAGAAGTGAGCAACACCTTCTTCACCGGATTTTCCATTCTGTAAACCACCAACTGATAAAGAAGTTAACTTTCAGACAAGAAATTCAGAGAGAGGAAAAACAGAAACAAAGAACTAAAAATCAAAACGCAGAGAAGAGTGAGGCGCACCTAAGAAAACGAATTGAGGGGAAATGAGAATCCTGTGAAGAATATTTAATAAGCGAGTGAAAGACACAGAAGTTGATTGCTGTTGAAGCTGTATTTACAGTTGCAGTGAAATAATAGAGAAGTCTTTGGCAGATCATAAAAAAAAAATATTACAAGTAGTTAGGAACCTTAGGCGCGTTAACCGTGCCTGATGATGGTAAGTAAGACGCTCTCCTGCTTTCACTATCGCCTCTCACAATGATTATAATATTTGTGATTTCAGTTAATAAATTCAAGTAAATACTTTAAAATTTATTAATCATTTACCTTATCAAAATTAATACTTCTTTCCTTTTCTTAAGCGATTTAATGTAGATCGAATGAAATTAAGAAAATCAATCACAATTAAAATGATCAATTAAATGAAAAAAAATGAAATAACACTTTAAAAAAAATTAAAATAACACTTAAATAATAAAAAGGGTTGAAGCCGGTATGTAATTTACATGAAATTTAATACACATATTATTGATATAATCAATATATCAAATAATACTTAGATTTTGTTCGGCAACAATTTTTGTTTTGGTATTTTTGGATTTTACATGTAAGATATTGATTTGGTGTATGGTTAGCAACACTTTTAGATAATAACTTTCATATTTTTAACTATTCAATAAGTGTTTAATTCACCTAAATTTTAAAAATTACAGTATTTTTAAATTCACAAATTGAAATTTTCAATAAATCAATAAAAAAATTGAAGGTTCCACAATATTGTTTTATTCTTTTTACAAAGTACATGGAAGAATTTAATTTGGCCATTAAATAATTAATATATCCATCTCATAAAAATAGAATTACCTTCCTTTTTAATTGTCCTGAATTATAATCGTATTTTCTAGTTTGTAAAGAAAATAATTTTCTCCGTTTTGTAGTTTATCCGTATTTAATGTGCATCTTTATCAATAAATATACTACTATTTTAATCAACTATTGAGATAGATATCTAATTAAAATATGAACTTTCTATATATTCTTAGAAAAAAAAATATATATAATTGGACGTTAGGAAAAAAACTAATTAGAAAAAGTTATAAAAGCATATTAGGGAAAAAACTAATTTTTTTTTTAAGAAAAAAGTAAAACTTATTATTTCTCCATGTTAGTTATATTATTCTAATAGTGGTTTTTTTTTTTTTTAAGTTCCAAAATTAAATTTTCATTTTTACAAATTTTAATTATTTCATTTAATTCAGTTTTTATATAAAATAATTAAATTGAATGAAATTATATATATTGATTATTCCATATCAATTTTATTTTTTTCTATAATTTTAATTTAATTTGTTATTCAATTCAAATGGATTCAATTGTATCTTTGAAAAAAAGTTTTCATTTTAATAATTACATTTCACACTAAATAATTTAAATCAACTATTCATATTAATTGATATGCGAAGTAATCTACTTGGTAAATTCGTAGTGGACCATGAGATGGTTCTTTACCTATCTTAATCTTGTTTTTCAAAATAAAAAAGATATTTCAATAATAAAATTTGTAGGACCAGCAGTCCGCATTCAAAATGTTGCACTTGTCAAATAATTAATTAGCTTAAACGCACATTAACACTTGTAACAGCGGATTTGTATCAGCGGCAACGTATTCATTGTAAGGTTGTTCTTATCCAGCAGTAGCATAAGCTCAAGCGCTAAGAACGGTTGTCTTGGTTGCTGTCGAGCTACTCCAGTTGGAAGATTTAGATTGAGACCGATTGTCTGCAAGTTTACTGTGCTATGAGAAATTATGTCTAAGATTGATATGAGTTTAGAGTTGTTATTTCTGAATGTAAACTACTATTAGTCCAATTGCCTAATATCTCCTTGGCTTGGATTAGAAGACAAGCTAATGATATAGCTCATGTATTGACTAAATCAGTTCCTCGCGAGACTTGTTTTCGAACTCGGGATATTGTTTCCATTTGTATTACTCTTTTTTTTCACTTAATAATAAATGACTAATATTCAATGTAAACAAAAAAAAAAAAAAAAAAATTTTCTATATATTACTTAGAAAAAAAAATATATATAAATTGGACGTTAGGAAAAAACTAATCTAGAAAAAGTTATACCAAGACATCCCATATTAGGGCGGTAAACCTCTATTTGAGCGTGCGGCGCACGCCTCCGAAATAAAACTAATTTTTTTTTTAAAGAAAAAGCGTAAATACGTCATTATTTCTCCATGTTAGTTAATATTATTTAATAGTGGTTTTTTGTTTTTTTTTAAGTTCCAAAATTAAATTTTTCATTTTTACAAATTTTAAAATTATTTCAATTTAAATTATCAAGTTTTTATATAAAATAATTAAAGTTGAATGAAATTATATTATTGATTATTCATTAGCTCAGATTCCTTATTTTCTGTTGCCTATAATTATATATATATATATGTTGCTTCTATTAGGTCACAAATTAACTCATTCCGAGCTATTTCAATTGTATCTTTTGGAGAAAAAAGAGTTTTTCGCATATTTTATAATTACATGTTCACACTAATAATTTTAACAATCAACCTATTCTATTAATTGATTTTAGCCGAAGTAATAGCCAATCTGCGCCTGGGTCTGAAGCCTAGCCCGCTGAGCGAATTGTAGTGCGACTAACCCAGTGGAAGATGGCTCTCCTTGTTAAACCCCTTGAGATCTTTAATCCGTTGGTTTTTTCCAAAACTGAAGTGTATTGTGCGAATAATAAATATTGTCCAAAGGAGCCAGCAGTCCCCGCTAATTCCAAAATGTTGCACTTGTCAAATAATGTGATATTACGTAAAACGCATCATTTTAATCACTTGTAAAGCGGATTCTTCGTATGCAGCGGCCTACGACAGTATTGCATTGTAAGCGTTTGCTTCTATCACAGCAGTAAGATAAAAGAGCTCAAGTGGCTAGTAGAGATACGGGTTCGTGACATTCGCGAGTTGCATGGTGGAGTGTCGACATTTGTTCGATAGATCAGGGAGCCTGACTACCACCTTCAGCGCCACGTTTGGTAAGAGATTTATAATATTGAGTGATGCCCTCGCACTTGCCTGCAAGTTTACTGTGCTATGAGAAATTATGTCTAGAGAATTGATAATGAGTTTAGAGTTGTTATTTCGTCAGAATTGTAAACTACTATGTGACGATGCTTTTAGCTCAAATTTTTGCACTCGATATAGAATTAATATTCCTCTGGTATATGGATTATCAATGGGTAAGACATAGCTGAATCGTCATCTCATAGCTCATGTAATTGACATAAATCAGTTCCGTCCGCGTGAGACTTGTTTGTTCGCGTCAAGCTTCGGGATATTGTTGATTTACTAATATTAATATGTCAGTTATACTTAAGTCCTCTGTATTCTCTTTCTATAGATACACTTATATGGGTAGATGTGCACGATAATATTTCATTTTCCATACGGTTGTAAACAAAAAAAAAAAAAAAAAAAAATTCGTTCGCAGATTGCATATAAATCAAATATACGCAGGTGTTTTGCAAAGAGGAGCTACGTGTCTAAATTTTGGCGGTGGCTTGGCCTTGGCTCTCAGCTTTTAGCTGTAGAAAAAAAAAAAAAAAAAAAAAAATTGTTCAGATTGCATATAAATCAAATTACGCGGCTGTTTATGCAAAGAGGAGCTACGTGTCTAATTTTGGCGGTGGCTTGGCTGCTCTCCTTTTAGCTGTAGAAGAGGACCATCAAATGTGGGTGTTGCCCCCTTTTTGTTTGTTGAAAAATTCAAACATTATTAAAAGAGCTAGCGTAGACTCAAAATGTGAAAATGTGAGGTTTCGTCCTTGTAATTATTACATTAATTGGGGCCCATTACAAGTTTTTTAAAAATAATTAATTTTAATTTTATCGTTCCTCTACTATTTGTCTTTTCAATTCAAAACACAAAAAGTGCAGTTTGTAATGTCTCCTGATGTATATTACGTTCGTTCTAAAAAAATAGTCCATTTTTTATTTTCATATAGATTAAGAAATATAATTAAAGGACAATTTTATTTATATAACTTTTTATTATGTCCATTTTAAATAACACATGAATATTGAAATAATAACTAAGAATTAGTAAGTGTTATTGAAAATAAGGTAATTTAATAAGGGTATAGTAAATAATTTAAGAGTTAACTATAATACAAAAAAGGAAAATGGATTATATCGTGGGACAAACCAAAAAAGAAAAATAAAATATCTTTTGCAACAAAGAGAGCATATGACTTAACAGATTATTGTAATTTTTAATGAATGATTGTTCGATAAATAGAAGTTAACTACATCAGTTGTTCTAAATTCAAGTCTTTTTATTATTAGATTATCTACTTGGTTATAAAATTAAGTAATGAAGTCAGCACATTGTAGAGACATCTAAACACAATTAGTATCCAGTTCGAAAATATATTAATCTTTGATCAAACTGTTAAAAGAAAATGGAAGAATACCAAGAAAAGAAAATTCAAGTCTCTGTACCTAATATTAAAAAAAAAAAAAAGATTTCAAATAATATATTGGACTAAAAATTTTGGAAACTTCCAAGAACAAAACTTTGTTCACATTTTGATAAGGGAGAGAGTTTTTTAAACTGCATTTAATATGTGAAAAATGCATGTTAAACGAGTTGGTCCACACAATGTCCTTAGCATGTTAGTTGAAGCTTTTGAAAGTCGTGATACACAAACCAAACCCGCAAAAAAATCTTCTTTTCAAAAATTATACAATGAATTATATAAATAGATATGTATATGAATTTCTTAATTTTATAATTTTTATAAAATTGCGATGAATTTTTGACCACTTTTACATTTTGCAGATAGATCTAACTTATAAAGAAATTTACTTCATCGAAGCAAAATAAAGCATGCAACTTTGAATATATTCATATTACTAATTTTAGCATTTATTTGAATGGAAATATTTTTCTTTTAAGGAAGGACAATAAGTAAATAATGGTAGAAATAAAATAACCATAAAAAATTTAGGACAATGTGTTTTTCCTTATTTGAAAGATGCGAAAAGAATATTGAAGAAAAAAGTAATAATTTATTTATTTTTTACCCGAATTTTCACTTATTTTTATTAAATTATCTAAATACTCTAAAATAACTGGAATTTCATTTTATTATTTA